TAGATTTTATGTGGTAAGTTACGAATTTCATTTAAGCACCAACGCGTATAGACATCGATTTTATTATGTATATAAACTATAAATATATATGTAATATCTAAATAGTATATATATTATATATATATTATACATATATATACCTCTACCACCGAATACACACATTATTGTAACTAAACGATTGTAAAAAAGTAAATAAAAATCCATGTTAATTCCTAGTTTTAATTTTCATTTGAAGTTTTAAGATCGAATTATAATTCTTATAGAACGATGCATATTACACTCAATAGTCGTTGTAACAATTATTCTGTGCTGTAATGTGCACGATATTAGAATAATAACGCGGTTGCCTACAAATTATTAAATGTTATAAGATATCATGATAAATATATAGTAACCGTCTTCGACGAACGAAGACCTGAAGTCGTGGACCACGATATAGTAGACATACATACATTACTACGTTAACAACAATAATTTATAACAACGATCGCGTTTAATAGAAAGTTAACAAAAGTGCATATTTCCCTCGCACTTTTAACTGCACATTTTTAATATGTCAAGGTCACACCGTTTCTTAAGATTGTATGTGTAACTGAAAATTGAACAAAATTCATATAATACCCGAACATGTAAACTCAAATAGAAATAAAATCAAAGTCTGAGTGTAAATGTAAAAATTGAAACGGTATAAGAATAAATGTATAATACAGCTTATTTCACTCTATATTGATTTGCAGGTAAAAGGATATAATGTATACAAATAAAAAGTCATATTTTGAATTCTGGAAACATTCACCGTAATAGGCACATCGATATTTAGTATTTTATCCATTGATGTGCCTATTACACATCAATATTAAGTATTTTATTCTCGTAGTCTATTTTCCAATTAAAATTCAATGCAATACTGTACACACTAATGCAATATTTGAATTCAACCCATAGGTTTCGATGGTCATGGTCACTATGACACATATAGCGGTCAAGTGTATATTCGAAAACAGTGGATAACGTTTTCATTTAATTAATTTAAAGGAGGAGATAATAATTTTACTAAATATGTAAAGCACACAATCGTGAAAAACACAATATTTTACAAACAGCAACTTCAGTCTTCGATGTTACATTAAAGGGCTTACTTGGGTAAACGACAATAACCTTGACATTATTTTAAGTGCATGCTGTAATAAATTATTGTTAATGAATAATGGCACATTAAACTTAATACATAGGTATTACCCCGGGTATTACTATTTTGTTTTTATATAATAACAAATATTAAATTTTCTACACAAAATGAATTGTTTTGGTATTTGTTTACATTCATAGTGTATAACATTTTTAATTAAGTACACTTCAGGTTTTCAATTATTATCATTAGCCGTCATTACTATAATATTTCATTGGTGGAAAATATAAATAACACAACAGTAAAGTTGAGGTAGATCCTACCTATATTTCTTAAATTATTAGAATTGAATTAATTATAACATAAACATTGGCCAACCTTCTCTTAATTAACTATATTTATTTATGGTTTACTTAAAATTATTCAAATTTTAAATCTACCTTTTTATTGATAAAAATTAATGTACGTTTGGATGAGGCTTATATACTAGGAAACTACAGAACCAATTGACACCTAATTGTGTATATTTATATTTCTTGATATTCTCGGGGAAAGTTTATAGCTTCGTTGTTCAACCCTTATAGGTTGCTAAAAGGTGGCTCGAGCATGAATTTCGTTTTGGCTCACTAGAATCGTATATTATTTTGTTGTTTTTTTTTTAATATAGGGTTGTCATTCGTTAATGAAAAATTTTTTTCTAGTATAGACTAAAAGTGAATTTTAGAGATATCAGGAGAGTTAAGAGAGTATTATAGTTTGATCCACGTTAGAAAATAAACCAAGTATTATTAAATCCAAACCACCACAAGCGGATTGTCCATCTAGGTTGAATTAATTCACAAAACGAATTACCTACAGTCTACAGAAGACTCTACGCTGATGCCGATTTGCCCGTGAACTGAGGCAAGTACACAAAAACTAATATATCACGGTATTTTTTATTTGTTAAGTTTTCCCCGCTGAAACTGGGTGATACAGCTAGTTAACACAATTTGAGAAAAAAAAATTCTATCATAACATTCTATTATAGTTTTATAATTAATATATTAAACTAATTTTCAAACTTTGATACATATAGGAATATAACTACAAATAGGTATACCTAATTATATTTAACATTTTATTTTTCTACAATATGTTCGTAATCCCGTTTTTCGATTCTAAACAACAGGTTCAAATTGGTATAACAATTGCCAATACATAATATTACAAAACAGTATTCAAAATAACAACATTAGTTAATGTATTAATCCGATTAGGTTAATTAACCTTATAATAGCAAATACCTAAAATAACTCGTATAAAAACATTTAAATGTCAACAATATCACAAGTTATATTAATGATTAAATATAAAGTGAAGTGCTTTACACGCCATAAGTACGTTTTATATAAATTGTGTTATGCCTCTCCTTGAATATTTAACTCGAGTAACACTTGAAAAAATAAATTTCGAAGAAGATTTGCAAAATATTATAAGGTTTGTTTTCACATGCATTGTTCTAAGACAGTATACTTTCACCTTGGAAATAATATCATGTTACTATATATATATATCTAGTATATGTTGTTTTATGAGTTTAAAATCATAGACGCTCGTGAATTATAGTAATTAAAAATAATAATATACATTTTACGCATTATGCTATATACACTTTCAGAGTAGATCACATAGAAGATAGAACCAAAAACAGAACTTTTGTATTTTAGTAACAAAACGTGCAGGTAATTTAATTGCAATAAAATAGAGTTAGGTACATAATATAATCGCCCATATTATATGAAATACACAGTAGCAGTTTTCTATTTATAATACCTTTCCCAATGGACTCGTATATATTCTGCACAATTATGGAAATAAGGCAAATTAAGGATCAATGTGGCGCTCCGTATAATACAGACAAAACGCGCTGAAAAGTTTTGAACTAGGATAATACGGTTATGCGTTTTATTTTCATCTTTCTAACTCCACCACAAGTGCATATATAGGTATCTGAATGTATACGACTCAGTACAGGGAACTGAGGATTAATATGGGACCAGAGGATAAGGTAAAAAAAAAAAATAATAAATACGAGGATTTTCGAGGTGACATTATCGTGCGACGTTGAGTGCACAGTTTCTGGTGCACAAAACTATACGGTCTGTCAACCAGACAGTTCAGAAATACATTTTGGCCAGCTGCCAAATTTTGGACAGTCCAAAGCGAAACGGTCATTCGACCTGAAGAATTTTCTTCTTCGCGCGTCCGCCCCGCGATCTCCCGACAATGTACCTCTACCGCTGTAAGGTTATTGCCATCGTGATAAACTGCCAAATCGGCTTTTAAAATGCGCGGAAATCTTCAGAGCCATACGTCGGCAGTGTTACACGCTTTGACGACAATCAAATGTGACAATCAAATCCCAGGACTACCGCAGCATCACATAATCCTTTAACCCACGCCTATCTACTCACACATATTCTAATATATTTGAGGATGGAAACGATAATATAAGGGGTATATGGTATCCAACATCAGCTTTTAATCCAAGGATTCTTCAATATCACCCGAAGTATGGGGAGTTGATCTGGGTCCGACTAGGTCTGGGTGTGTTATTATGTAGAGCGTCGAGTAGAGGGTGATTTTAAGGATCGACAACTATAATATAGTCGTATTATGACGTATTGTTTTGATATTCTATGCTTGGTATTAAGAGATGGAATTATGAGAATATACATTATTATATGGATTGTATTGAAATTTAAATAAATATAATAGGTATGTAAATGATTATGGTATTATAGATACATAACTGTCTAGAAAACTATTTACTGCTCATACACGCGAAGACAACTGCACTTTTGGTATTTCCTACACTGCCCAATTCCAGTGTTCTAGTGCCCGTCAGGATAAGGCCTGGTACTTTCAACGCACGTAACGAGGAAATCGAATTATGATAATCGTCTTAAGGGGGCACGAATTAAACAGGGGGGGAAATCAATAGTTGTAAACCCGCGCGTTGTATCTAATTCGATTTAATGTGCGTTGTCGATATACCTAATTACAATAATAATATACATACACCGTATTGGTACAGTTCCAGCGGGAGTGTAGCCTAATAAATCGTGTGGGCGATGAATTATAAATATTCTCACTGAGACTTTTCTGTTGTATTTTTACGTTTTAATTAATATATTAACATACCTGCAGCGTGGTACACTTGTGCGCCACATGTTATACATTTTTAAAAATCGGGATGCGATTGAAAGAGTATCGCCAACCGTACAGGCACTATTTTGATTTTCAACAGGGGTGGGAGCTGGAAAAATTTAAACAAAAAATACTCGCGACCACTTTTGCCCAGGTTAGACGGTACATGGACGATACGCGTACAACGTTATCGGAAGGGTTGTTTTCAGTTGGTATTCAATGAGCTTCAACCCCCTACCATTCATCGAAGAAATTAGGAATTAAAACAAAATTATGATACTTTATTCTCGGAAGGCGGCCTTTTCGAAATAAACGGGAATCGACCGGGTCAACGAATAAAATAACAGTGAAGAATGTGATCACATAAAAATCATTACAATGCGTTTGAAACACGACGAAATCGATTTGTCTGAATGAGCTGACAAAATTGGAATATTATTGCCGTGACGATGTAGTTATTAATCGCCACAACGCAATAATATTGATATGAACGATAAATAGTTTGTTTTATATTTTCTTCGATAACTAAACAGTCACAATGCCTTATAGTACGTATAGCAATAACGTAAATAGTACAACGAATACCTACGACACGACGACGAAATAAACAACAAAAAAAACCACCTTAAACGTAAATTGTAACAGACAGGTAAACACCAGAACCAATAAATCGTCTTACCTTTTCTTTGGCCCTTCCGGCATGCTTGGACACGGATTTGGCGATAAGGGATCCCTTGCTCTCGGCCATGACGTTCTGACTCGGATCACCAATGCACAACAACTGATTCATGTCGAATTGTTGTGACCGCCGTCGTCGCCGCCGCCGCCGCCGCGTTATCACCGCCGCCCGACCGCCAGGGCCAGCAGCTGCAGCTGCAGCAGCTGCTACTGCCGCCGAACGTCGTCCGGTCTGAACGTAGTAACGCGTTCACCGCGTGAAGGTACCGACCGACCACTGAAACTGGGACGGTGTCCGTTTGAATGTTTCGCGCGTTACACACTTATTCGCACCTGCACGATTACCTATATGAATGGTGCCTAAATGTCGGACGCGCGTTGTACGATTTGTCGCGTACGATCGAATACAATTATGATTTATGCAGTTGAGACGGATGCCGAAAATCTCCGAGACCGACGATACCACGAAACACCCGTGTACGGCGCGCAACACGGCTAACAGACGCTGACCGAATACCGTATCGGTACGTCGCGCGGTGCGGACGCCCGCGCTCAGCGTTTCTTCGCCGCCCGCGATTGGTGCCCCCCGTGCATTGCACGTCCCCCCCGGAAAGCCGACGGGAACGCGACGGAAAAAGGAACCGTAAAAAATAACAATGACGGAAAAAACATGACCGAATCGCTGGAAGGGAAATGCATTGTACTGCAGCGCCGGAGACGCTGCCGCCGCCGTCACATAATATATTATTACATACCTATAATACATAATATTATAACAATAATACAAATAATAATGACTAAAAATTATGATAATAGGTAGGTAGGTAGGTAGGTAGGTATACGAGAGACGTGTACGTCATGCATACTCATATACGCGTTTATACATTTTTAATCGACGACTGACACCCAAACAGGCCATAACGAGAAGTGTGTGGGCCCAATTTCATGCATTGGACCAACAGCTACTATTTAAGTAGTTATTATTTAAAATTATAAAATCGATGGTAGTAACTAGTACATACTTCTTACATATAAAGGTAATCCGCACTTGCATTATAATGTTATTTATATGGTTGATATCTTCTAAATATATAAAAGCACATCAAATATTCAAGTATGAACTATATTTTAATGTGCAAACAAAACTTAATCTACAAAAAAAAAAAGGCCAAGGAAAGAGGATGGTCGGGGATCAACACGTCCCCAACACTCAATGACACTCGTGGTTGATAATTGAATCAATTTTAATGAATTGGCAGTTTTTACTTTTTCATATAGGAGAAGTAATCTGTACAGATGAAAAAAATATATACTAATATTAGCAGAAAGGTAGTCTGACCTAAAAAATAAATGTATTTTAGATTACAAAAAATGTCCACATTTACTTCATTTTGATGAATTCTATCGACAAGTTCAAACGCTTTAATACCTATATGTATACAAAAAATGTGATACTATTTATTTTTGATATTTTTGAATCGCTCGAACTCAAGAAGAACAACTTAATATGATAACCTTGTGTAGTTGTGTTTAAACTTTTTAACTAAAGAAATCCATCAATTTAAACTGGAAAATAAATCAAACATTTGAAATATCCAGGTATTTTATATTCTTAAATATTGGAAAATAAAGTAATTAATAACAACCAAGCGATTTCGAAAATGGTAGTAAAAATATAAATTTCAGGAAAATTTCAAATAACTACAGATTTGTCCCCGTGGTTATTGTTTTTAGGATTACAATAAAGTATAAAAAACTTATATTTTGTCAAAAACTGGTGTTGCTTACGTTCACATTTTAAAATTTTTTTTTCAGTTTTTACTGTTAATTTTGAAAAGAACTGGAAGTTGTCTACTACCTATTCTAATAAATAGTAAGTACTAACTCTAACTATAGTACTTTACATTTAGAGTGTAACGTGTAAGCAATATATTTCATTTTCTACCAGTAGATAACCAAACCCTCCAAGTTGAAGATTAAGGATTTTTATTTTTTACTTCTACTGATCCTAGAAAATGAAGAGACACAACAAAAAACACTTCTAAACCCTTGTTGCAGAACACATGTATTGGGAGGGGGGTTGTACAACTCCTAACCTCGCTCCCTAGTTGCACCACTGCTGTAAACCAATACATTCACCCAGGACCGGCGAAAGCTATGGGTGACCTGGGCAATTGCCCAGGGCGCCAGCACGGAAGGGGCGCCAAACTGAAAATTATTTTTATTTAAATTATCTTTTAATAGGCATTAACAATCTGTACAATTTGAAATATTAATTATCTAATGTCGTTTTAATTGAAGATGCATCTGCAATTGTTTCATATTTGTATAATGTAAGAACAAAACAGTGAATCGTCGATATTCGATACCTCTGGTTTTGATGTAAAAATAATGCATGGAACTATGGATCATGGAAGCATACCACCGCATTTGTGTGGGTCAATAAAATATATAGATGGTCGTAATAATTATTTTCATATTATATTCAGCGATTTATGAATAAATTCATAAAACTAGACGATTACATCTAGATTTGTTAGAAAAACCGCGGCATTAAAACCCATTCGGACCTTACGGCGAAAATAACGCAGTCTAGCGTAAATCAAAAAGACACAATTATCTGACACACACAATTATTTATTGTTTTCGAATTTATTGTTTTTAAAGTTATGATACGTACTAATTTTATATTTTTATTTAACTTATTATTAAAAAACTTAATTTTACTACTTCTCAAACTAGCGGGGGGGGCTTGTTAAGGGGGGGGGCTTGTTAAGGACGCCAAAACATGGTTTCGCCCAGGGCTCCATGAATACTTCTTGCGCCGGCCATGTATTCACCTCTCAGTTCATGATCTAAAATAAATTGTCCAACTGTAGTAGTATATGAAAAATGATTGATAGTACTAATTTAACGATAGTAACCCGGTTACAGTGCACGATGAAGGTTAGGAGTGTAGGTACCTATATGCACATCTTTAACTCCTTTACTTATAACGTTGTCTATACTCCCATATTATATTAGCTATTAGTTATTACTACATTATAATGAACAGCTATATTTTTTTTTACTATTCATAAGTAAATTGTTTCATGATAAGAATACTAAATTAATATTTAAATTACCTAATCATTTATAATATAGATTCCTATATTATATGATCAACTGTCTATAGAAGTGATCTACCGTAATTTCTCTGCGTCCAATCACTAAAACACAATTTATGAGGTTCGATGTTAAGAATAATTTTTGGATCCCTATAGGTACACTTCCCAGATCCTGTTTTTTAACCACTACAATTCTACAATAAAGTTAAAATATCAAATACCTATGTAATAAACTAAAAACGACAATGATCGTACAAAATAGTATGTAATAGGTACCTATCTAAGTATAAATTAGGTAAGTATAATATTTCTTATTTTTTTATTCTTTAGTCATAACTCTATTATTAATATCAATTAAACATAATATTTATTTTTACGGTTCGATAACTTTAATCAGTGAGTAAAGTAAAATTAATGTATGCTATTGTTTGGTGATTTATACCATAGGGTAATAAATAATAACTTATGTCCTATGTTTTACCATTTACACAGATTAGGTACATAGGGGGGGGGGGGGGGTACTTCAATACATCATAATATTGATGTTACGATTGGTTATTGAATTTAAAATATAAACATTACGGTAGGTAGGTAGACACAAAATAATAATATAATGCGTAATGCGACCGTAATAAACTAACGCTACAAATAAATTAAGTATTATTATTATCAACATTTTAAAAATATAAAAACATGAGCTACCTACCTATATGAAGTTTTATAGAAAAGTCGAATTGATTTTTTAAATGAAATAACATCAAGATCTATTGCCCGCGAGAGCCCGTTATGAATAGAACACTATATTAGCAATTAAAACAACTAACTCAATTTATTTAACTTATTTTCGTAATCGGATTTTGAAAGCGGAACCGATGAACGCTGCGTAGAACTTTTCGCAATATTTCATACAATTATTTTAAACTGGATAGTGGATACCAATAGTTGTTTTAACTACGCTATTATATGACTATATATATAGTAGTCATATATTGACACCAGGTCTGTTATGCTGGTTGGTACATTTCAAAATAAAATAAATAAAATAATAGAAACTAAAATGTACCATTATTCAGCTATAACGCATACCTACATAATTTAGTTTGGTTAGTCGAGTATAAAAAAGGGTTAGATTAGGTTATGTTAGTGCAGTTATAGTGCAGTGGAGCCGATCACCTAATTTATCTGTGACGGTCGACGAATGTCGTATAATTTTTAGATGGGGAGGTCCGCATCATTGTAAAATATTAAATCAATACATTCATCAATCCGTTTAGAATCATAATAATATTTGTTCAGCTAAAATGTAAAAGTAAATGATTATACATTGCATTATGTGAGTGCTTTAGCTTGCATCTAAATGTTATTTTTTTTTAAGGGGAGGACGGTGTAGGGGGAGGGGGGCTTGATATACGATGTCGTAGTATATTTTAAACACTTTGGCGTTACTGGAGTAGTGCAATACTATATGAGCAGTGTAACTAGTGTAAAATTGATGAGGTAAAAAATATTTAAGTACGTATTTAATTTAAAACAGGAAACCCCCTCGTAGGTGTTGTGTGTGCCTTGTTATTGATGTGTTAAATTTTAATTCAATGATATATCATATACCATAACTTTTACAACCCAAAAACACCATTTAGATCCAATTTGCTACCAGAAACCACCCTCAAAGTTGAAGATCTTTGAGCATTTTATTTTGTTCTATTGTAAAACCTATGGATGAAAAAAACACGTAATTATAAAACCTATGTATACATTAATTTTCTACTCCGTTCAGAATCTACAACATGCAAGCTGTATGCGTTGTAATTAAAAATTAAATTAAATTTAGTTTAAAAAAATACAAATTTACGTAGGTTTTATACTTAATGTACGATGTACTATAGTATTAAAGATTATCAGTGCACGGCATTTATTTAAAAACGTACTGAGGAATAAAAACTTAATACCAATACCTCTACCTCCAAAATATGCAAATAGTTTATGCAATAAAAAAAATGTTAATAATGTAGTTCATCATCTATAGGTATAAGTTCATAATAATATATGGACTTTGCGCCCCCTCCCCTCTCCACAAAACTATGTCTTTGTGTCATCCTTAGATAATATACTAGTATGATGTTATGCTGTAAGGTTTTATTGGAACAAGATTGTTAGAAAGAGACTAAGCTCACTCAACGCAGATCATAGAGGAAAAAATTAGATATTATGAAATAATAGATGAAAGAAAGTTTCATTTTTTTCTGTTGATAATTAATTTTTATGCACTTTCTTTATAGGTCAATGACTTATGAGTTAATCTTATTCCATAATTTAATTTACATAATATTTATATATAAAAATTACAGTTTTGCTTTAATGTAATTAGTGAATAGTTATATAATTAGAATAAAAAAAAAGGGTATTACTGTATTAGTATTTGGATAGCAAATATTAGTATGACCTTCTGTTAAGAATACAATGCGTAATGACAATTTAAACAACTAATAAATGATTGAAATAAGAAATTAAAAATATGTTAATGCAAGTAATTTATCTTATTTTATACTTCTAAAATATTTATTTATTATACACAAAAAATCCTTTAAATTATTAAATAATTTAAACAAAACAAAATAAGTAAAACCTAAAATAATTTGAGATCAACAGGGAAAATATTAATCAACAATGTATAGATCATTGATACCCTGACACATGAACAGTTCTTTTGGAATCAAAGTCTTACTGTGTATAGAAGTTACGGTTTCTTTTACATAATGTAGGTATACCTCATAAGTTGTTAAATATGAAAAATGTATTTACTAAACAGCACAACTAAGAATCACAAAAATATTAGATGTTAATCAATAATAAATTACTAAGTTCATCAAGTTAGTTCAATTGATTTCTGTTCCCCAAGGTCTGAATTATCTAACTTATGCAATAAACACATTAGATCATCTACCCATTTGGGTTGAGCATTAATGTCAGGGTTTACACAAACTAATTGATTTTGATTGCAAACTTCATTGTTTCTCATTGTACTATTTTCAACAGATGACAAACTTTGCGAACAGTAGGCTTTTGAATTATAAACTCTGGGCACAGTTTTAGTACACTTAGAAGTCAATTGATCCAATAAACTTTCAAACTCTGATGTTATAGTACTTTCAGTATATTTTAATCTTTTAGAGCAGGGTTGTGGACTTTTTAATCGTTTCAATCCTTTGGAGAGTGAAGATTTTGAACCTAATTCAATATCTTTTTCAATAATATCATTATCGAGATTATTTTCATTTTCATTATATTGTTGAGATGTGTTTAAGAAGCTTTGTACGAGGCGATCAGGAATTGGAGTATTTATTTCATTCTTGGTGTATTCTAAAGCAAGGATACCAGCTTCTAAAAATTATAAATATATCCTTCATAGTTATCATTATTTGTATTCATAGTACCAAATTAAATATCATACCAGTCAACTGAATAACTTTTCCACTGTTTAAAATAGACGATACAAAAGAGGTTTCGTCAACTGGTTCGATAGATTTTTCCAATAAATTTAAAACAGAATTATCACCATCTAAAATACAAAGACAAAAATATAAAAATGTAAAATTTGAATGTAATGAAAAAAAAACACATTTTCTTTAAACTTACGTTTTAATTTTGAAATATCTAGATAAAAAGATTCATCTGAATTATTAGATTCCAGGTTAGGACCTAATATTGTTTCACAATTGATACTTTGTCGTTCACCAGTCTTATTAAATATTTCTGAATTTGATTTTGAACTGTCATCTGTTAAGAAAATTTACCATTTAAAATCAATTATAAAATGTTTTATTTCTATTAGTAATTTATTTTTCTATTAATAGCATGGTTCGACTAGTATGTTGAATTAAGTTTTGCCAAAAACATAGTACTTTTATATTATATTATTAATTATTATAATAAGTATCATATTATATCCATTAATTATTCACTTATAAGTTACAGCTTAATACTGATGTGTATTATACTAGAATTCAGCTCTATTCAAAATTTAAAAGTTGAAACAATTATTAAAAAAAAAATAATAAAAATAAACTTGATAAATGTTTAAATTTTATATTAAAGTTGAAGATGTAATGAATAAGTGGTGACTTTTTTTTAATTATGTTGGAATAAGGAATTAGATTAAGTGTTATCTTTATAGTTAAGTATTAAGCTCATATTTTCTCTCTGTGATGCATGTCTGCAAGCTGCTACTGTGAGAAACATAATTTATACGTGGAATAAATTAAATAATATAAAATAGTTTTTATAAAAATCCTCCATTTAAGATATCTATAAATACCTTTAAATTGAATAGACAATAACAATACACTTTTATCATTCACTAAAATGAGTGAATCATAACACCTTTTGGGCCTTACATTCTATGATTAACCTATTGTTACATTAAAATATAAAAAAATGAATTTATATTAATTATTAGCTTATAAATATCAATACTATGATGGTAAGTAGAAGGAATATATCTACAGCATTAGTACCTACAACTTACTATTTATTTTAAATTGCGGTGTATTTGATGATTTTGAGCTAATATTCTGTTTTGTTTGAATCCCATTATTAGTCCGTGGAGTTGTGTGCAAACATTGATCCTTATTTTTATTTTTGATAAACTGAAAAATAGAGTTATTAAATAAAAATAATCTTAAAAATGTTCAATGTTTTATGATTGATAAGATTTTACTAAGACAAAAGTTATTAATAGAATTAAATAAAATGCTTAGCTTAATATGATTATATTTACATTTCAAAGAGTAGGTAATAAACAAAATTTAAAAAAATTACATTGTCTATTAAATGAAAAATGTCCAAACATGTTGTTTTGGCAAGTTGTAAAGGAGTTTTACCAAATTTGTTAACAAGCGTGAAATCAGCTCCTACATCTAATAACTTCTTAACACCTTTGATACATTTGCTTGTAACACACCAGTGTAATGGACTATTGTTAAAAATCTGAAAGATAAAATATAACACAGTGAACAATGTGAACAATTTTATAGATTTAGTATTTTAAATATTTAAATACATTTATCTGAACTTTAAGAAATATGTAAAAAATATAAAATAGACAATCATCATAGCTAAGTCCTAAGTATGAAGACTATTATTGATTTGGAGATATTTAAATTAGATAGTTCATATCAAAATAATTAATAGTTAATATTTATTGCTTGTAAATCTAATAGGTATTTTTAAAATGTAATAAATATATTTCTTCACGACAATAATACCAAAAATATCACCTTATCTGTAGAATTTATGTCACAGTGAAAGTTGTTTAGTAAAACTTCAATACACTCAAATGCACCTTGAGCGGCTGCAATATGTAAAGCGGTACGTCCAATTTTATTACGAAAGTTGCTTTTATAAGTCTTGACAGTGTTTAGTAAATATTCTAATACCTTTGGTTGATTGTTCATGGCAGCAAGGTGCAAAGCATTGTTTCCATACTTAAATGAAAAAGGAACAAAGTTTTTAATAATTTAAATCTGAGTTCTAGATATGAAATACACTATTAACCTTGTCTAGGCTGAACGGTGATATATTGTGAAACAAGTTAATTTTAATTGTACTCAAATCACCAATTATGCATGAATGGAAAAATACCTCCTTGGCTGAGGACTTATCCATAACTATTATGTGGAACCTTTTCAATAAAATTTTTCAAACTTAAGAGTCAAAAATAGTGCATAAATTACCTGTAAAATTATAAGTTATACTTGTTTTAAAAAAAGTCGAATAAGTTCTAAAGTATAGCTGTATTAGAACAAAGGGTTGAATTGGACTTAATGGCAGAATATGGTGAATTTAAAATTTAAAATATTCATAAATCGATAAATAAAATAGAAATTTTTAGGTTTTGACAATATTATTTTGGCACTTATAACAATTGTTACTAAATCAAGTTTTTTATTGTTCATCTTAACCATAGACATATAATATTATATCCATTTGGTCTTAACTCATGGCCATTGAGGCATTGATCTTTGAAATGGCGGTTGCATGACCAAAATGTATACCGTGATCATATCAAAGATGTTACTGAACTAGTCTTACTTATAAAAAGAAATTTAAGACAATCTGACTCTAAAATGAATTAAGTATTTGCCCTCATGACGAGCCATGAATATTTGCATAAATGTAGATATTGATAGGCATAATAAGTTTAAGGAATAATTATTTATGAATTAAAAAATATAAAAATCAGATAAACTATTATTTTATACAATATAATAATAGAATTAATCAATAAAACATCTTAATAGTGCAACTGCTGAGCTACTGGCTAACTTCTGCCAAAATGTCTAAGTAATAAATAATAATATAATTTTAATTTTTCAAAACAAGTAATAATTAGGTAGGGTAGACTATTAAAAAATAATGCTTACTTATGCAATTTTGCATATTTTACACTGTCTTAACATTTATAACCATGATAAATTTAATTCAATTTGTCATGTTTATAACTTCCACAATTTCACGCTTAGATCTAAGGACGTTTCACGGCTTTCGAGTTTGGAAGAACTGATAACAGAAAACGGATAAGCATTATCATATTCTGTGTTCATATCACGATAATAGATAATATCGTGATCACGGCTCAAGGTGGATATATTCACGGCTGTGGATCCTTATCTCGGAGGAATATATTCAATAAATGATAAGTACTAACTAGTGCGACTGTGCGAGGCGCGAGCAACGAAGCTGCAAAGTTCGAAAAAAACTTACGAACTATATAAATTTAGTCTTAATATTTTATTGTGATTTTTAATTTATCTATTGAAGAATAGAACATTAATTTTAACATAGATTTGTAAAAACTAGTTACAAATATGAGTAAACTAAACAAATTCATAAGGTAAGACAGTAAATTATGAGTGTTAGACAACAACTTACTAATAGGCCATTGAATGACCTTAACAAATATTTCAAAATTATTCTGAATAGCCTTGACATTGATTCCCAAAACTTTACAACTCATAAATAATTTAATTTATTCAGTTACACTATAAGAGGAGCATTATTCGGAGCCACCATATTCGGTTCATCAGAATTAGGTATATGGAAAGATGGTGAAACATCACGTGAAGTAGCAAAAATCATTATTGCAATTTTAACTCCTATTGCCAAAAAAGCAGAATCTGAAATGCCAGCACAAGTAAGTTAATTTTGTCAGTATCACAAATTTGATAAAACAAACTTGTACCTATACGAAACTTGTATTTTCCAGGTAAAATTATTGCCTTCTGTAGAAAATTTAAAATCCACGTCTACGGCATGTTGGAACAAAGGTGTGTACAATGCCGGCGAGTTTGTTATTGATGTTCCTAACAAATGTGTCTGAGCGGCAAATAAAGCATATCAACTGGTTGAGGTACAAGTGAATAAATCTAAGGAAAATTAATAATGATCTATTATCATATTGAGTAAATAAAACTATGTATCATGCTAATATCCAATAGCAATTTGTTCTGTTACTACTTATGATTTGTTTTTGTAAGACATTGAGTAGATAATTTGTTAAACTGTACTTAACTCATTCAATATAGAGCAATTATAATTATAAAACAATTATTTTTGATTACAAATATAACATTGGTCAACATTGTATTGATGCTAGTTTTTCCCTTACTTTTTATTATTCGATGTCTAAAACTTCATCTGTAAGAGAAAAATTAGGGTATTGAAAAAAGAGAAACATATTATTTAATAAAAAAAAAAGAAATGTATGTACTTCATGTTTTTAACATAGAATATAACTATTAACTACACAACTTTCAAAAAATGTTAAAATGAAAACATAAATGCAATTATATTGTTTTTAAAATATTTACACGAAAACGAATGTGTATATATAAAACTTAACCGATATAATTAAAATTGAAAACAATTGTTTTATAAATAATTAACAAAAGTTTCATATAAATGTAAATGAAAATGATAAAATAAAAATGTTAAGTTTTAATTTAAAACAATAATAATTCAGTAAAAATAAAATTTAAATTAATGATTGCAATTTCAAATTATGATGATAAATGATAATCTATTCTATGCTTGGTATTTCTTACAACATAAATTTATAAATTATTTTAAATATTTTTTTCCCATATTTAGAGAATTCGAGATGTTAGTTAACAGACTAAACATCATTTGAACTTGATTTCAACATTTTATATTATTTCACACAGATTCAATCATGAACAATGGATGAAGTGCTGACTTTAGTTTTCAACAAAATTTAATAATAATAAATCTGAAAATTGACAAATGTTTTATACACTTAATTTAAAAACCAGTCAACTAAATTACATGTAGTTTTGGAGGGCTGTGTTTAAGTAAACAGGATTTTATAGTTAGTACTATAGGTCATTAACAATTTTAGTATTAAAATATATATAATTTGGTCAATATGGATTTGAGAATAAAGTAAATGATTTGTCATTCGAAGAACTCAATTAACGTTTCATAACAATATTATTGAAAATTTCCTGATTTTCTTTTTTTTTAATCTGTTTATTATGTCTGTAATTCAATGTAATTAAATGCCAAAACATGTTTGTACATAATTCCTAAAAAAAAAATGGAAGAAAAATGTTTAAGCTGATGCATCCACTTCCATTTTTTCAACTCCTGCTTCTGTTTTTGATGGTTGATCGATGTCCATAGAACAATTTTCACCAGCTGCGTTAGCATTTTTTTGTGGCTTCTTCTTCTTCTTTTTCACTAGTTGCAAGATTCCTCTTTGATTTACAGATGTCTTAAGTAAATTCTAAAAATTTGTTATATCATAAAAATATTAAATTAATACAATAAAACATTGTAATGTCACAATGACGGTTTTGTTATTATTCTCCGTAGTTACTAGTTATCTTTCATAGAGGAGTGTCACTGTGTCTAATTGTAAATCGGACTGACGAAACAGTTCAATTTTATGATGTTTTCAAAAAATACACTCAATGAATAAAGATAAAAAGTTGGAAGACATTTTGAACGATTGTATTTTATGCAGCAATACCAACTATTCAGATCTTTTATGCATTTCAAATAAAATATTGAATTTGCAATCACAATTCATACTTTTCATTTGTAGTCGTAGTTTAATGTATAAATAAATTAATAATAATATAAATAGGGATTTAATTAATTGTTGTATTGTATTAAGATATGTCAGCAACTAAAGCATACCAATATTTCTGGGTCCTTAATGGATAGATTAGGCACATAAAGATCCTCTTCAAATGGTAATCCTGTTATTCGAGCAGGTCCAGTTGCGGTTACTAACACTGTAAACTTATATTGCACGACAGTTTCACCTAAAAATAAAAAAAATTTGATGGTCAAGAAAAAAATTAGGTTCTATATTTGTGATCAACAAAATAAATCATACCAGTTTTTTCAAAAAGAACTTGAAATGGTTCAATGAGTTTGTGATTTACACATTCCATCACACCCATTTTAGCTTTCTTTTCATCCTCAAAATTTCTCAAATTGAATGGCATTATACTATGTTTTTGAATAACTTCTGTGTAAAATATTCTGTAAGAAAAAAAGAAAACATTTCATCAAGTCAAATTGTTTTTAATATAAAATTCAAAAATATTATTTACCTAGATGCCCTAAGCTTCAATGGATATACTTCTTCCGTCTTTTTAAACACAGATACCTTAGCTGTCGTTTCACGGGCAGCTCCACTTCCTGTGCTAACAAGTACATCTAAAGCATAAACTTCATTGGCCTCAATAGTTGCTTTTTCATGTTCTTTTCGATGCGATTCGCTAGGATTCTGAATAATGGTTTTGGGACCATCTAATTTAAATTGTTGCAATTGATGGCTAAGCATACCTTCAACTGGCTTACAATCAAATTCTTTGCAAACCTTCATTACCATATCGGTTATTTGGTATGTCTATAAATAGATATAAAATAGTTAATTTTTATTTATATAGACATACTTAAGGAGCATTATATTTTTTTAATAACTATCTAAAAGTAACTGATACTTACATCATTTCCAGGCCTCATAAGTCTTAATGCAGCTTGAGATGCATAATGAGCAGCTAAGAAACAATTAGCTTTTTTATCAGTGATTTTATTTTCAGAATTCGCTCCCACAACTATAGTATGAGCTATCATTGAAATAAAACCATCTAAATGAACTCCTAAATCTCTAGAAATTGTATAAAACTGTATAAGTTATTTGTAATGATTTTTTAAATGTTAAAACATACATCTTTAAAACATCATCCTTTGCAATTATATGATCTGGTTCACTTGTAATGGGTGAAAAATGGCAAATGCAGCCGTTAGCGGATATACAAACGGGAAAAGCAATACCTAAACAACATGATTATAAGAAACATGAAAATATGATAATATAATATGATAGGTACCCACCTTTTTTCATTTCCTTTTCTTTTTTGAATACTTTACTAGTCTCTTCTAATATTAAATTATCGCCTGAAATACATACATCACGAACTGATGCACCTTCTACACATTTTTCAATGATTTCAACAAGAACACCTGTAAAAAAAATGTTTTATATTATAACACAAGACTATAATGGTTTAAGTAGCTGCAACAATGTTAAAGTACAACAGGGACGGTAGCTCAATGTAAGTAAAACTTTGGTTATTGATTTTTAATTATTTCAAGTTTACATTTGTAAGTGGAAGTGAACGCCACATGCATTACCAGTCACATACTGGTATCAACGAATTCATTTCTAGCAGTTATAACGGAAAATTCATCAACCCATTTGAAATTTCTTTCACATTAACTCATTACTAGAAAAACCAATTTATAGTAGTCCTAAAATAGGGATGAAATAACGCGATAGGGGGTGGGGGACCCTTCGCCGCGTATCGCAGGTCGTGTTCCTGCGAGATGAGCACGGTCATCCGAGGGGCCTCCATCATGTGCAAAGTTACACTGAAATCGATGAAGACATCCACAGTTCCACGAACGGACCCGGCAACTTCAGCACGACCACACGACCGGGTACGCGCGAAGTTTTCTAGGTTAGGTCCAACGGCCAGAAATCATGTCATGTACGAAGTCAGAGACCGGTTTTCAGGAATGACGTCCAGTGTGGTAAGTACATATTACTAATAATTGAATGGTGAATCCCTAATGGGCCAACTTACGGTTGGCGATTTCTCCAGCCGTCTTGTACTTGATCACCACCGCCTCGTCGGCGATAGTCGCTTCCACCTCATCGTTGTCCTTGTCCTTGTCGGCCATCGTCGTTCGAACGGACAGGAAACGTCAAAATATGAAACGCTGTTGTCGTAGATCCCTCACGGTCTCACTAATCAAAAACCGTACACTGAGAATGCACTTAACCGGAAACGCACGTTTCTCGCCGGAACGTCGTCTATATGATGTGTAGGACACACGCGCGACGCACCGAACTATAGGTATATTATTATTGTGATTTGTGTCTTGTGGTAGATAAACGTAGCAAGTAGTCAGGACTCAGGAGTGGAAGAGAAAAAACTGCGGTAAACAACAGAACGGACCACTCTAGTTCAGTTGCGACAACTTAGAAAAATAAAAATCCCACTGATATGTCCAAATGGTGTCACATAAGTAACCGTCTTAAACCATAGACATATTAATAAATTTATTAATATGTCTATGTCTTAAACACACGCGTCTTAACTCTTAATTAATAATTTATGAATTACCGATTCGAACTTTAAAATGTGTTACAGGCTTCAACGGTCTACAGTTACCTATTTGGCTATTTATTTTCAGTTCAAATTAATATTGTAGTAATTATTCGGTGTGCAGAAATACTGGATCGTCATTTTACATTATTCCCGGGGAATAAGCTTTTAAACTTTTTTAGGCCATAAAAAAAAAATTCCCGTTTCAATTTTTAATTATATGTACTTCTTATTGAGTATTATATTATTAAAGATTAAACCAATGATATTAAATAAGAAGTTGAAAACACGTACTTTTATATTACGCTTGATAATAGAAACCACGGTCCTAGTCCTTAGATTATTAGGAACTCATGTCATCGAATGAATCTTGTTACTTCGACATTTACTTAATTGGCAATTGGTTATTTTTTAAATTTCATTATCTCTGAATAAAACCCGAATTTTATCTCTAGGAATTACCTATGAATAAAACCACATCATTAAAACAAAAGGTTTATTCTGGGAATGATATATTAATTTATAAGCTAGGTATAACATGGTATTTGCTTAAAAAGGTGATACACGTATAATATGCATAAAAATTAACAAAGAAGAGTTTCAACGCTTGGTGGTTTGAAGAACTAAACCACAGTAACAAAATATAAGATCTGTCCTAACCTTCAGAATTTTTACGCAAAACCAGTTTCGACAAAATAGATGTTATTTTGTAATAAAACAAATATAAATAACTAGATATAGTTCATCAGTCCAACCTATGACAACACCAATAAAATAATGACATTTCTAAAACAAATTGATATGTAAAATCTAATTTATGGACTTTTTGTATTATTTACTGTAACCAAAAACAAATCAATATGTACAAACTACTTGTAAGTTAAAGAACTATTGTTTTACTATATAAGGTAACCAAATACTCTCATTTGTTGCAAGCTAATAACCCAACGAGTTGAAGCTATACCATGAATAAAAAAAATAAAATAAAATAACTAGATACTTGAAATTTTCATTTTATTGTTTGTAATACAATGTTGAATGTTCTATGTAATTATGTAAGTCATGATATAATTAATAAATATTTTGACTCTTTTTAAGTTATTTAGAGGCAATTTAAATGTTTTACTTATTTTCTATAAATGTTGATAAAAAAAAAATTTGGGTCAAAAAGCTTGAAACATTAATACATGGTTTCTCACAACATATGTTATTATAGCTATTTATAAATATATAAATTCGTAAAAATTCAATTTTTATAGCTAAGATTGTCATTTAATACAAGGATCCTTATAATTAGTTTATTTTAAAACCAATCAATTAAAAAAAATATTTAAACACAATTTGTTAATAGATGTTTAAAGTTCAAATTTTTATCTACTTACTCCCAATATCTATTAATTGGTATATTAACTTTATTTTATTCGTATTATGTTATTACTATCCACATACTTTGTTATTATCTATATAACTCATATTTTATTTAATGTTGTAATCGTTGAACTGTAATAGTTTTAAGCTAAAAGTTCTAAAATAAAAAAAAATAAAAAAAAAATAAAAAAAGTTCAAATTTAGACATAATTAAATAAAAAACAAAAAATTACAATTTTAATTATTTTGTTATAATTCAAATGTTGTATATTTCATATACAAAATCACATTTTTCATACCATGAACAGCGCAAACCTTTTCATACCATCCTAAGGTTAGGCAGTATATTAAGTGAAATATTAATAATTATAAATATATAGGTACTATTATAATAAACAAATATCATTTAATATTAAAGGTATTAAATGCAATATTTTTGGCCTTTTTTATGCATTTCAAATAATTATTTGGAAGATAACAGATTATACAAACGAAATATTATTAATAAATAGATGTTGAAATAATTAAATTAATAAAAATAAAATAAAATAAAACTATTACTGCCAACTATCAGAATTACCAAAAAATCAACAATGAAAAATGTGCAGATATTTATATGAATTAAATATTTTATATCAGACTCAGAGTTTGCACATATAAAGACATTGAGAACTGCTGTTAAGAGGGATTGTCACTATAAAAGTTTATGGGCTAATGATGGTTATTGCTGGCCAATATAAGTCAAGAAGCTAAGTTTATGACACCGTATTTAGTTGTAAAACATTGGCTGAGTACTTTGTTAAATGAGGAAGAATTTTGTCAAATTGGTATAGTTACTAATTGACATAAATTATGTTTTTTTAATTTAATTTATTATATCATAAGTTTTTATGTGATCATACACATGCAATAATAAGATAAACCACTATTTCATAACTGAAGTAACTTTTTGTATGATTATTTTTCAAAAAAAAACACAAAAATGTATTGTGCACATTAAATGAATACTTCAGTATTAAAACTGAAAATTAATTTAACTATAGACCTGTTGAAATAAATGTTTACAAACTAAAATGCAATAAGTATTGAGTATGTTAGTATTTTAATAAAGTAACAAATTATAAACTTTATATAACTATAATCTAATTGTACAGTTCTAATGTATACACATAATCATTATATTTTAGTTGCTAAATTACCTATTTTATCTATATTGCAAATAATATATTTTTAAAAGTCAAAGAATAATAATCCAAATTTAATATTTCAAATATTATTTATTGATAAAATGTTCAAAATAAAATATTATTGAAATATGTAGGTTAGGTGTAAAATGATTCCATTACAATATTTTAAAATTGTATTTAATGTAGAAAATATTAAATAATTTTTTTTTTAATAAATAAATAACAATATTTAAAAAACATATAATATGGCAATGGATTTTAGTTGTGCGTAGATGTAGAATTTAATAAAAAGCATAATTTATAAAATTTAAGTTGAGCAAAAATTTCCAGGCCACAACAAACAGATAATTATTAATCAATGACTTTTTGCAATTTTAAGTTCTTATGCACAGTGAATACATACATAAAATACTATTCTTTGCAACACAAAATTTACACTTCAATATATACTGCACAATTGATAAATATTAACAATTTGTGTACAATATTTTAACTATGCATATTAAATCTTAGGTAAATGATAATTTTACACAAGTATCTTAGCATTTATTGAATTACACATCTCACAATTCATTCTGACAAAATTACCTATAATATCAATAGTATGCATTATTATTAATTTATATAATTTGAACATTTGTAACAAAAATATTTACAATTACAATATTATATTAAGTTAATACATTATTATAACTGATTTTAAATTTAAGTTTAGTGATAATCAACATATTTATTGAATTACTACAATGTGTCCCGAAATTGGTAACCAATGACCACATATTCTTTTAATAATAATACCGTGTAACAATATTAATTAGATTTGACGCTAAGCTCAATTCCTATGTAAATTATTAAAATAGAAAAACCTCCACTTAAAAATTCATTAATATCATTTTCATGATACACAATATACTAAAATAACTGGGAGCATAACAATGTTTGTGTATGATCTTAAATAGAAAAATACATATCTACATAAGTATTACAATTAAACTGAATAAAAATAAATAAAAATAAAAACACAATTTAATTTGTATTTGATAAACAAAATATTGGCAAGAGTTACAATGAATATATGTTATAGCTAAGATAAAACAAATTTAAATCATATCTCTTACTGCTCATGGCAAAAAATGTATTAGTAAAATTTTTTTTATTTTCCCAGAAATATTAAGAGATTGACTAGACATGCTCATTTTTAAAATAACCATGATAAAAGTATGTATTGAAATTAAGTACTAAGTATATTTCATCTTAAAATATAATTAAATGATGTTATGTTATTAATTATTTTGAATAAATATCATTCACGTATACTTGATTGGACGGAAATTATTGACATTCCTTTAGGAAAGTCAAATAAGAATATACTTTTTATTTAAAATATTTAAATAGGTACATTTATGAAAAATATTTGTTGAAAAAATAAAATATATATATAATATATAAGATTGAGGACCAAATGATAATCATAATGGTTGCACAATTAAGTTTATACATAAAAAATATGTGATGTTAAATAAACTACTTATAAACAATATTAAAACATAAAGTTAAATGAATTATCCATAAGTTATCTAAACAGACATAATTTGTTAATAATCATACATAACACTGTTAAGTATTCTGTTTTTTTTTAGCTTTTAAAGACCTTATTAGCAAACCAGGACGTCAAGAATTTAACTTGTTGTGTAATAATATTGTGTCCTTTTGCAATTTATACAATTCTTGTTCAATTTTTTCTGTAATTAATCTACGAGCTTCTTCCTCAGTCACATTGGATTCTTTCAACTTTGAGACCAATCCTTTTAAATCAATAGGCTCACCAAAATTAAATGTTACCTTACGACCAGTTCGTAAATAGTATGGTGGTTCATTTGGTAATATAGTTTCCATTCCTACATGACAAATAGGTACAACTATAGGCATAATAGGGGATTCATAAATCATTTGACCAACTCCCCATTTTAACCGTATGTAATTTTTGCACATATTAACACGGCCTTCTGGGAATATATGCAGCCATTTACCTTTAGACAACAGTTCTACACCAAACTTAACGGCCTCCTGTAACAAAATGTACAACAATTATAAATTCACATTTTTTTTTCCAGAAAACAATACAGATTTATTATTTTTAACATTTAAGATTTTGAGTAAAAAAAGGAAATGTATTAATTTTGCAATTATTATTTTTTCTTGTAGAAAGTGCTACAAAAGTTTCTTACAATTTTATTCATGAATTGGATACAATACTGGATCTAAATAGTATTTAAAAAAAGATTGTTTAACTTCTATCAGCTAAAAAAAAAATGTAAAATGAATGAAGAAATGTACAGAACTCCTATAAAAGTTCTGCAATTATTATAATTTATATTTTGTATTAGTGATATATAATGTAAAATAATTTTTTAAAAAAATGAACTGGTCTAGACGTAAAGTTTAATTTTGTGTATTTGTTTCTAAATTTTGTAGATCTTATAATGTAATGAAAAGAAAATTGTATGCTATTCTAACTTTAACTAAACAGTTGAAGGTAGCAATTTTGTTAAAAAAACATAAGCTATGAATGTTAACAAGATTACAATTTTTTATAACCATTTTTTTCTGTGTAATCTGATAATTTTAACTACATTTCTAACAATATATTTCAAACAATTAAATTAAAAAGTTAATATATTGCATAATAAAAATGTTGCCCCTTAATAATAACAAATAAGTCAAGCAGAAACTCGTGCATGAACCATAACAAACCTTAAAATATGCATTAAAAATAATTAAGATTTAAATAATATGTCTGTTACAATAAAACATGAAAACAATGAATTTATAATTAATAATAATAAAAAATAATTTATTTACATAACGATAAGTGATAACAATAACAGTAATTTAAGCCAGTAAACACTGATTATATAATTAAAAATGATACAATCAGATCTCCTAACTGTCTGAAAGAATCACATATACAAAACATAAGACATAAATTAAGTACATGCATGTATAATGTTCATGGTACAAAATGATTTACTGAATATACTCACCACTTTTTTCTTTTTAATAGTACTGTTATTTAAAATGTGAATTTTTGGATATATTAAATAAACCTTAAGATCATATTTTTGAATATTTAAATTTTTTTTTTTGTCCTGCATCAATACTAACTTCTGTTTGGTTTTTAAATGAGAACCAACCTATATTATTTTTAATTATTTAGCATATCGTTTTTTGAAAATGTTTATGTATATAATTCAAATAGCGAACAAGTAATTTACAACATATTAAACTTTAAAAACTAAGGATAATAGTTAATGTCCATAGAACTAGTCCAAGCACTCAGCCAGAGATGTATTTGGGCACAGGCTTAGAGAGGTTACATTTCGGTGGAGGAAAATTTTATCATATTTTTTTTTTTTATTGACAAAAAGTATTTTTAATTTGATGAAATCAAAATTTAAAAATTTTTTAAGTAGAAAATGTTATTAATCATAACTGTATCTTATTTTTCATAAGATAATATAACAAACTGAATATTTAAATGTATTTTAAGTATAAAACTACTTCACCGACTCTATTTTTTAAATTTTGATTGACAATTGTATTTTTGTTTATTGTTTTCAATAGAATAGTGAATTAGAATTCTACAGAAACTACTAGTTTTAATGTTATAGTCATTTGAAGTTTTTACTTACTAAATCAAGGAATGTTTTTGATTTAAACCGTCTGAGGGAGTAAGTGATACTGCCAGGTCTACATGTACTGTTAGGTTAAGTTAGGTAAAAACAATAAACTTTAAATGGCTATCACATTAAGACTCTAATTGCATATTTTCTTCTCTAAAAAATAATCTCCTAGCAAAATAGTTTTGTAGCCCTAAATACATCACTGTGCCCAGCTATATGTACAAACACTTTAAATATATGTACTTATATTTAATATTTGTTTAGTCATGTTCTTATTATTCAAAATATTGTAAAATGCTTATAAATTAATATAGTTTACATACTATAATTTTTAAATCAATTAAATAATAAACAATACAGTAAAATATATTCTTCTTGTTTGATCTAATCTCTATTAATTTTTTTTCGGAACTATAAACAAATAAATGTGGCCAGGTATGAATCAGTGTTTGGCCTCAGTCACAAACTTGTTCTGAGGTAAAGCATCAGCTGGTGTCACTAGTTCCGAGATGGGTGATCATGCTGGTTTTAGTGACAAATCCTTGCCAAATATAAACATGTAAACATGTTTCAACCAACCATACCTCCCCCCACAGCTTAAAACTAAATTATGGGCTAATGACCATAGATGTTAAAGCATTAACTCAAAAAAAAAAAAAACCAAAACAAAACAAATAAATATTATTTAGTAATAGGTATTATATTTTATGTTTATATATGTATATAAGCATATCTATCATCCTTATTATAAATAATTCAATAAGTTGGAATTTTTATTTAGATACATCAAAATATTTTTAAAAAGGTGATTCTTATTTGTAAAAATTTATATTGCTACAGGACACTTCTTAAATGATACAGAAAATCTAAAGTATTCAAAAATTTGTTAAAATTCCAAAAATCTGATTTTGAATAACTGTATTATTAAAGAAAAAAATGAGGGGTTAAGCGATGAGCATGTTTGGTAAACCATTCTGTATATTTAAAAAAAAACATGGGCCATAATCGACGTGTATTGATTGTAATATTTCTAACAATGATTAAATTAACAGTTTATACTGTGGGTAAATAATATGTACTTAAGTTCTACACAAAGAGATATAATACCAGTGGAAGTAACCATATAAACTACAAAATTGTTGTATAAATGTAATGTAAAATACATTTTTAAATTGTTTATTTCTTTCAAGAGAATTAGGAAAATTAAGAATTTTAAGTATATTTCGTACAATTTGTGTGTTCTTTATCCGGGCAATATCAATGCTAATACATTTCTACACTTCATTGAGCATAAACAAAATTTGTTATTAAGATGATGTCAGCACAATATTTTTTCTCTCAAACTCACGATAAAATGCTTTCACCTAAAATCGGTTTTTATGATTTTTGAGAAATCTTAGAGTTTTCTAATTTTGATGTTATTCAAAAATTATTAAATGTAGGAACTTGACATTTTCATCAAATGTTTATTTCATTATTTTCCATGCATGATAACATTTTCAAAATATTTGGACTTGTTTTTAATTATTCATAGATAATTGAAATTTGAAATTTTTTAATTCTAAAAATGTATAAAAGGTTCCTTAAAAAGTTGTTATAATAGCAGTTAGTTAATAAATACTAAAGATTCATTGACATGTTTCTTTTTTTCATAATTATATTAAGTTCAAAATCTGACAAAATTTATCAATCTCAAAATTAACAAATTATTTTGTAGTTATAAAATTATAAAATGTTCAATTTTTATAGCTAAGAATTGAAAATGTAAAAAAAAATTTCTTATAAATCATTTAAATATTGTTATTAAAAAATATAAAAATATATAAACCGGTTTTTTTTACAGACTTTTTACTTTTTTTTGAATCTATTAATGACTGATGTTTTTATAGTACATTATTTTATATTATATCCAACCATTAAAATATATATAAATAAACTGTTTCCAGTTAATTAATGCCTATCGATTTATCCCATCTTAATCTCTATTAAATATTTTTAACACAGTAATTTTGATGGTTTTGACCAAATATAAAGCACAGGTCTAAAATTCAACCATAATAACTATTTTATTATTTGTAATTAATAGCAACCATATAATAAATAAAAATATATTATTTATCTGTGCTCTGAAAAAAAATTCTCAAATTTGCAATAAAAAATTTTTTTAAAAAAGGGCCACTTATTGAGATAAAATATTGCCTATAGAAGCTTGCATTGGGATAGTGTAACTTTCTGATGGTGAAAAAAATTTTAAAATCGGTTGATTAGTTTCCTAAAATATCTCAAACAAACAAACAAATAATATTTCTTCTTTAAATCATGAGTAAAGATTATTTTTTGAATTTGAATTCGGCTTTCAAAAAATAAATTTGTAAGTTAAATGATGTTCAATGTTTTGAGACAATATTTAAAAAAATTGATATATCATATCCTCAAAAATATCATTTCTATTATGGGCAATTTTACTCTATGATTACTCAAAAACATAATAAAAAAGATTCTGAGTAAATGGGGCATTTTGTCTGTGCTGTGTGTGTGTGCCAGAGAAAAAATAAATCATGAGCTGACATCCTCTTACAAAATGTATATGTATTTTATATAGCCTTATAGGTAAATTGCATAGAATGATGTGCCTCATTATATGTAGTATGTACCTAGATACAAAAATTGAGTACCTACTAAAAATTCAATAAAAATCAACCATCTCTATAAATAATTTAATATTACAGTTAAAGAAAAAACTGGCATATATGTCTATTTAATAAGAATAAATGATAACTGCATAATAGAACAAAAATTTACTTAATTTTTTTTGTTTAAACTATTTTCATTAGGTAATATCGGGTAATATCAACAAAAATGTATTAAATTAACAAAGTAAAAAAAAATTAATTAAAATCAGACTATAAACAAATTTTATCTAGTTAAATAACTGTAAAAAATCAATCAGCTATGGTTAATATATATGACCTTTAATGACATACTTAATAAATCAATAACACAGTTTTAAAAATTGTACTTATTCATTTAAAAACACATTTGAATAATACAATAATCCATCAAAAATTCATTGTTGAAAATCATAATTTATGTACATATTAAAAGCATAAAAATTAATTATCTAATTGAAAATAAAAATGATAATAAAATATACCTAAAGGATAAAACCCATATAAACTCTTAAATAAAAGTATCTACCTATAGAATAAAGATTATTGCAATTTTTGGTATGGCATTAAATTATAATTTATTAGGATTATTTCAAGTATTAACATTAAGGTCTAAAATAATATACATAATCTATATAGGTAGGTAATCAATACAATTTAATTTCTTTGTAATTGTGTGTCAACTTGTGCAATCTAAGCAAAATGTAATAATATTTTTTATTTATATTGACTAGTTTTGGTTAGGTTCACATTTGCATGATGAAAAAAAAGCAAAATTCAATTTATAATAAAATAAATATAATTTACCTGATATACTCCGGCACCTCGAATGGTTGGGACACATTGACCAAGCATAAAAAAATGTGCACAGAATGGGTTTGTAAAGCATATGTCATTGGCAGCTAATGCCCAGCGCATTTTATTAGACATTATTAAATTCTTCCAACCAAGTGCCGCTAAAACAACCCAAAATATTTAGAGTTGACATAAAAGTTAGGTGGAAAATCTATAACTACATACCCCAAATGCCAGGATCATCAAAACACGAGTCATGATTAGATACTGTAATGAGAGGTATGTGCTTGGGTCGATTGATTGCTTTGTCAAATGAAACGAGGTTGTACACTTTTGCCTTGTTGAAAAATTCTACAATAACACGGACACGTTACACAAGAGATACCTCCTATTATACGTAATGATGAGACATGCGGATACTTACTGATGAAAATCTTGCTGAATATACCGACAGCAGCTAATGTGATGCAAGAAGCGACGTTCCAAAATATCCGTCGGTTCCTGAGTTTTGGCAAGACCCAATCGATGTTGTACTCTTTCTTCACAACCATGGTTGGTTATAGCGTTTTACATCAGATTTGGATTTTTCTTAAAAATATCGGCTTGCACGACCTTCTTACTGGTTGCGTGTTACAAGCAGCGTGCACGTCCTAAGAAGGCTCCACTCATCGATTCGTCGTCGCGTAGGTACATGTATAACAAAAACCAAACAAGACCGGCAAGGGTATAAATATCTTGAATTCGTGAATAATTAATGAGAATAAGAACGGTGGTTATAGGCAAGACGGAATAGGAAAGGAAAATTAATAATAATATACTTTAGGTACGACGACAACAAAGACAAACTGTAGCGAACGCGGCGACGACCGACCACCACACTACAGCGGTGAGCGGGACATGGATATTATATTGGCAAAATACATTATTATTATCGTTCCGCACGGGCACGACGGCAGCGGTCGTTATCTCACGGTCGCCGCGGGTTCCCCGTGTTGGTTACGACCGTAGATAACGGACACGTCGGGTAAGCGCGCGCATGCGTTCCCCACCATCGTGGCGCCAATATTACGATGCTATAAGCGCCACGCGGACGACCGTAAGAAATGCATAAGAAGTTCGTATTACGAACAAATACTGAAAATGATAATAGTACATGCGACGAATCGAAACTTTTGAGGAGACAATCGACCAGAGATTCCAGTCACTGAGAATTTTTATAAGATATCGGAAAAGTTTTTAAATGATTTGAAAATGTATTATGAGTCAGGAAAGCAGCTTCCGTATGTAAAAGGATGAAGAGAAAATATGAATGCACTGAAGTTACTGTACTTAGAATTCAATACAGAATATTCTATGGAATTTTTACTAACAAGAAGGTTAACTCATGATAGCATTTAAAAGTATTTTCAATAATTAGGAGCAAAAAGTGGGAACATACTACTCCAGATGCTACTAAATTTCAGTCTGCAATAAGAATGATGATGTGTTCTTTTGCTTACACCATCAAAAGAAGAAAATTGTGAAATAGATGACTGCCAATTTTTCACCAACCTTAATGAATTAAAAACAATTCGACTACATGTCAATGAATTTAACACATAGGATAATACGGTTGAAAATGATGGAGGAACATGTAATAGCCTGATAGCCAATAGGTAATATATACTACATACTAGATGTTAATTTGTCATCAACAAAAATCAACAGTATACTTATGGATTCGCATAATTCATCTGCAGTAACTCATATCAGTAAACTTGAAAATCTTGAATACATCAAACAGTTGGCAGCAAAAAACAAAAGTAACACAGCTTTATTCAACCCATACACTACTTTTATTGAAATGAAAGAATATGAAAATAGTGATTTGCTATATCCATTTGATTCTACGATTGATTTTTGCAAAAGAATGACTTGTTTATTTAAAGAAAATATTGAAAAAATGCTATTGGAATCAAAAGCGAATGTATGAAGTAAAATGATTAATTTGATACGAACAGTATGTATGATGTATCAGTACAATAAACATATGTAATACATGTAAACTTAAATCCATCGAAAAATGTATAAACGTGTTAATAATTAGTTATGTAAAAAATTGTAATAATAATATGGCCATCTACAAAATTTACACAACCAACAACAAGTTTTAAAATAATACACATTTATAAGAATTATGAATAAATATTTATTTTATACCACTATAATACCTATTATGTATTTACGTATTATATTTAAAAGTAATTTATAGTTATGTAAATATATAATAAAGTTTGAAAGTGTATTAAGTTTATTATTTTTATATTAGGTACCTACCTAAATTATTAATATTATACTGTCCATCGATGAACAAATATAAAAATAATAAGGGGCAAAGGTAGGCCTCCAATAGTAAAACTGTTTGCATTCGGTTTCGCCACATTATATCATTGAATTTCTCGTATTATCATAAAATATAGTATTTAGTACGCATAAACAACGAGTTCCTATTATATAAATAACCACCGACCCTGATCAAGTCATAGTAAATCTTACTCTATGGGTCAAGTGCAGGTAACAGGTTGACGGTAGTAACTATCGTAGCTGTGACTGGACAGGCAACTTCCCCATTTGGGGAAGCATTAGGGGCGCATAGACCCCGATGGCTAAATTCACATTATATAATGTATACTAATTACTTGTTTACTTTATAGGTAGACAGGTAGTGCATAAAAGCAATAAATACTAAATAAAAGCACCAATATGAAAAAAAAATTCAATCAAAAAACAATTCCTCGTTTGAAACATTATTGTGCAGGATATACGTTATACACGTATACCTGGACCTGGTTATACATACCTGATTTGTAAACTGTCAAAATTTAACCAAGCTTTTAAAAAATGTGGAATAGAACATTTTAGTTTTTAAAAGTTAAGACAAGTAGAAAGTTTTAGATACCTAAATGTTTTATGATAAGAGATCTTCAAAATATATTGCTCAAAAATCAAAAATAAATGTTCTGTAAGGAGAATATACGTTTCATGTAAGTACCTACTATGATCTATACGGGCACATGTAAACTCCCCTAAAATGTTGTAAATTCCCCTAAAAACATTTTGCTATCGTATTACACTTTTGTAAACTCCCCTAAAAATATTTTACTAGCACCATTTAGCGTAACCCAGGGGACACCACGTGGAGGCGGTTCTATTTATCCTCCAAAAATATTTGTATTTTGTATCGCATTTATATTATTTTATTCAAATTTATTTTGAAAAATTATTTTTCATTGTCATACTAGATGTCTAGGTTTATTAAAACCATGATTATTTTTTAATTGAGTAATAGTGTAAAACTGTTTTTATATAATGGAATGTAGTAATTTTGTGTTCCTTATAATTTTCTATTAACTGGTTTAAAAATTGTTGTCGTCTCTTTAATTTATTACTATGAGAGTTATTTGTTTTATGAATACTTTGTAATTTTATGTAAATTTCTGTTTGAATATTTTTTAATGTATTTATAAATATAAAAATTAGTTTGCCATAATAATAAATTACTTATACGTTAACATCGTTAACTCACTCTTTCTGTCATTATTTTTCTTCTTCTCTGTTCACTTTTTGTTATATCTCAAAACGTTATTATATGTATAATCATATCTATATACGAGTATATGTAATGTATAAATGTAAATAAAATAAAATGTAATACGCCTTTGATGCCGCGGATAGTTTATTTAATTAAAAAAAAATAATAATAGTAAATAAAAAGTTGACAACAGTCTTATCTTTATTACCTCCTTCGGGAGAATTAACAAACGTAATACGGTAGGTAGCAAAATGTTTTTAGGGTAGTTTACATAAGTGTAATACGGTAGCAAAATGTTTTTAGGGGAATTTACTATTTCATTTTTTAGGGGAATTTACATTTGCCCGATCTATACATAGGTCTAACTAATTTTTCGATCAACTTTCCACTTGAAATAGTTGAATAATAGCAACTGTTGCGAGGAAACTCAAAAAATGAAGAATTACTAAGAGCCTACTATAAATATTACTTGATAAATAAACTGAATAATACGAAATATATTTAAGTTTGTACTTATTATAGTTATCATATGATTGTTTTAAATATTGGAATATTTATGTAATTCGAAGGTGGCATAGCATTATAGACCGAAACCAATAGTTACCAATTTATTTTAATAATAATAATTAATACTCATGAGTAATGAGTAGGGCTCGGATTTATATTTTCTATCTATCAATCTACAAATGTAAATCTGAAAATTTAAATTTTGTCACGTATGTTTATCCGATTATCTTGATTTTTTTTCAAATGAAAGAGTACATTGCATAGCAGGTTTAAGGCTTAATTCCAATTCTATAAGTAATTTAACGGTAGCTCATAAATGTATTTTTTTCAGCCCCAAAAAATAATATTCTTTTATCTTATTTAAATGGGAGATAATGTTAACATATTACATTACAGAGGTACTATTATAATCTAAAAAAAAAAATAAGCCCAGTGAAAATGGTAATTTTATCATGTATGTTCTCTGGAACCATTCATTTGATAGCCATGCGGGTTTTTTAAGTGTTTAAGTATTTCGCAGAGTAGGTTTAAAGCATAGTCTTATGGACCTGACTTCTGTCCACGAAGTATTGAGAGATAAAATAGAAATAAACTGGTGGCACCATCTGTCTAGTCAACGAAGTGCACGTGTCAGCCCATCAGCATTGACCCACCAAGAGTGCATATAGTTAATGGTTTGGATCACGAAAATGAAAAAAGTGGCGAAGATACAAATATTGAGCAAATAGATCCAAGAACAATAGACACGGTGTTTGAAAACTCTGATTTTGTGTCTTTCGCCCTAGCCACAGTAGCCCCTAGTGAAATTATGGAACCGTTATTCTTTCTTAATATTATGATCATTCAGAGACGATTTTTTTAAATAGTAGTGTTAATGACGTGTGAGTAATGTTTTTAAATTACAACAAAATAATTAATATCCTTATTCTTTGTTTAAATATAAAGTTATGTATATATAATATATATTACAAAGGTTCACAATCTTTTCACGATCCGACCCCATTTTGGAGAATATTTGGAGACCCACAACATGCTAATGACCTTTTTTTGTTTCATTTGGTTGCTATTTTTGCAATAAATTTAAGTATTACAGTGTCATGGTGACACGTCACTGGCAGGTACGCTCTTATATAAGATGTAATCGTCGTGGATAACGATCAATTATAGAACTAAATCGAACATCAACGTACCTACATGGTACAATATACGAGTATCGTAGTTATTAGTTACACAGAAAATATTATTTCATAGGTATAATACTTGTATGAATAAAATATACATTTTTTTATTTATTTATACTTATAGACTATGGTATAATCTAGTGGTACCTATTAAATATTCTATGAAATATAAAAATATACATAATTATTTCAGAACTTAACGCAATTCTCCAAAAATATAATCGTGACCCACTTTACTATTTAATCTAACGATTTTGAGTTACACAAAAAAAACAATATCTATGTTGTCGAAAACTGGTTTTACACATGGTTGTAAAATCAGTACATTCATCTCACAGCTCAGAATCTGAAAAAAAAAAACAAGGAACATTTAGTGTTCATTCGGTTTTCCAAAAGAAAAGAATTATTCATTTTTATTAATTTTTAAAAATATTCTGAATTACTTTTTTAGGAATTTCAAACAAATAATTACCCTCAGTAACTATAACCATCAACTTTTACAAAGTATTTCTGCTGACTTCTTTTATACTGTTTTATATCAAGTTAAACATTCAAACCAATAAATGCTAACATGCATATAATGTACCAATAAATGCTAACATACATTGTACATATGATAACAGCACATACGTGAATACGTCATAAAATAACTGTATAGCTCTGCGTAAACCTTCCCCTTTTTAGTTTTCGAAATCACTGATATATTAGAGACCATAATATATTCCAGTACCTATGTCGTACCAAGTTCAGGATTTTTGTATACCTATAATTTGAGTTATTATGATGGTATAAAGCTTTCAAAATTTCAAATTCATAATAACAACATTCTCTTCTATCCTAGGCGTGTTGATACTTGATCGATGTGAGACTTTATATAATGCCCAATCATTTATTTCTATATGATTTAAACCCATAAAGTTTTTTCCTTTTTTTAACAGATAACAGTTCTATTATTTTCAGTGACGTACCTTATATAAATGTAAACGCACTTTTATAAATTACAACTGTTACTTTATGATCGTAATCAATAGAGCAGTTTTTAAAATGTTCGTCATGAACAATAATTATACCTATAGATTACTGTGGAACTATAAAATAATATAATGCAGGCAGATTTATCTTTATCAATCTATATTTAGATATGATCTCAGTCATTAGATATAATAAATATTTTATTATTTTATGTGGCCTTAAACATTAAAATCTATAATATGTAAGTGGATATATTATAGGATTTGGAGCATCAGCAAGTTGTGAATACTTTCAAGTAGTTTCAACTGATATAGGAAAGTGGAAAGAACAAATTATTCCCTTCTAAATATTTTACATACCTATCTATCTACGTGATACACATATAATAGCTATATATAATACAGCTGTTCAGAATGATGTTTCAGTTGTTGCTTGACGCCCATCACCACTGATCGACGTGATTGTGTTTAGTTTTTATAGTAAATATAAGTATACAATTTTTAAAACAAAAATGGATAAGTGGAATGGAAAAGTTGCTGTAGTAACAGGCGCTTCTTCTGGAATCGGAAAGGAGACTTGTAAACAACTGGTTGAAAATGGAATGATTGTTGTTGGTTTTGCTAGAAGAGAAGATAAACTTCAGGTACGCTGTAGTGGCAAATCAAATTAACTCGTTAGGTATTAAAAGAAAATTCAATTAATTTTATAATATTTTGTCGCCCATCTATCAAATTTCGCAATTCACATGTTGGGAAACATTTCTATATACGTTTTACATAGATTTGTTTTTATTTATATATTCGAACATATTGTTTTTAGTGAAAGAATTAAATGGGTAAGTGGCATGTACTATGTACAATTATTCTGTTTGACCCTGGCCATGAATGCGACTTGAGCATTGGTTGGGGGCCCACACGGCCACACCTTTTTTTCATGCTACATACTATAAAACTTAACATATTATGTACCTACTAGTTTTTAGGTTAAACAATACACAAGACACGGTAAATTAATCGATATTTATGTATTTAATTGAGAGGTCTTTTGGAAAATAAAATGATCCTATACGGTCTTTGATGTTCCAATCCAGCACTGGACTTTTTTACTAATTTTGTAGAAACTTAAGTCATACTTATAAGTAACAGACCATTTAAAATTCTGGTTGAGCGATGAATGTATAATATAGTTGTATCTTGTATACCTTTACAATTATAAAAATAACATTTTTTTATTTTGTGATAGAAGACAATAAAAATGCTTTAATAATTAATTTTGAGAGTAGTTATTGAGGAAAAAAAAATTAAAAATTATGAAACAACGCTATTTGTATGCAATTAAAAGTTTCCAGAAAAATTGATTTTATATTTTTGTTGTTATTTTAAATTAAATACCCAACTATAAAGACAACTAAGAATATTTTTAACCAAATGTTTAAATTAGCATTTTCTACAAATGATATAAATTTTAAAAAATGTTTGCTATTTCAGAACATTTTTTACTTTTTTTACTTTTTTTCGGCTTATGTACCTATGACAAAATTATTGTTTGAAGGTGAATAATAAATTTAAAATTTAATATAGGGGTCTTAATAAATTGGTCTTACTGTTATTAAAAATATTTAAATACACTGACACATTGTTTTTAAGCGTCTTAGGTTCAAATGTTGACAAAATTCGTTAAGATCACAAAAATATGTAAATTATCTTGTGGTTCAAATTGCATAAAATTTTAAATTTTAACAACCAAAGTTTGAAAATTGAATACAAGATTCCTTACAAGTTCATAATGTCAGTTAGAAAAAAAACGTAAAACCACATTTACATTTTTTATGAGCAATTGAAATTAAATGTTGGTGACATTGGATATTCAAACAAAAAAACGATTTATCCTAAAACAAATTGTATTTTTAAATATTAATGTTAAGACACTTGAGACATCCTACTATAACTTTATCATAACTTATAAACAATTTAAAATTTCATAATATATTTAACATAGGTATTTATAAAGGCATTTTAAATGTTTGCGTTTTTTAAATATATTTTTTTTAGTTAAATTAAATACTTAAGCTTGGTCAATAAAACAGAAAATGTAATACAAGATTTATAATTTGTGTTTTTATACCTAGCAATTAAATAATATTGAAAATATAAAGTCATAATCTGTTAGAATTTGTAAGAAGTTATACTAGAAATTTTTATCAAAATTACAAGATTTTAAAAGCTAGGTAAGGTTTGAAAATGTATAAAGATTCCTCGTAAGTTTTTCTAAAAAAACATAAAAATGTAAAAATTATAAAAAAATGTTGATCACACATTTTTGTGTAGATAGATATTTCAAGTTTATATTACAACTAAATTTTGTAGTCAAACGAAGAATAATGATTTTAATTTAAAAAAAGTTATTTCTAGAGACTTGAAACTTTTTGCATTGGCGTATATTATTATAATTTACGTGTTTATAAGCCTATTATTATTGTTTATGTACGTATACTAGCTTTATTACCAAGTTTCGATCTAGACCGATCAATTTTTTTTCGTTCTGATTAGGTATACAATATTCATAATATATATTAGACATTAGAAATATGTTGCACTTATTACTGTTTCACTATTATCTTTTATAGGTACTTGTAGATATTCATATCTATAATATAGTAATATATAATTTAGATAAGAATATTCTCTTATAAAATATTGGGTTAGGTTAGTAAATCATAAAATACTTCCACCCCCTTATACAAATCCGAAAGGGAGCAGGTACCTCTCGGCTCTGATAGCTAGTAACATTATAAGAAATAATATTATACCTAGGTAATAAATATTATGTAGGTAATTTATGTAACATCTTTTTGACGAAAATAAGTTTAATCACTTCCACCCAACAATACTACTTATAGAAAAAAAATTACTAATAGCAGTATAAATATATAAAATTAATATTTACCTATTTGTGAATTATTGATTTATTGATTTCTGATTATATAATAGGTATAATATAATATCACTTAGAAATATGACTGAAAGACTTTCCTCACATCGTTTTTCTCATATAATTATTTATAGTTGAATTCAAATTTAACACTTTCCTATTACAATATCTTACTCAAAGATAAATTACAATCGACAACTAATGTGACTTCTTAGAATTTTTAAATAGATATTTTTCTAGAATTAATAAATGTTATATTCTGATATCTAATCCAATATATGTTTTTCAGGAGTTAGAAAAGGAATTAAAAGGAAAACTCGGTACATTTTATTATGTTAAAGTTGATTTGTGTTCGGAAGAAAACATTTTGGAAGCCTTTAATTGGGTAAAGAAAACATTGAAATCAGTTGACGTACTAGTTAACAATGCAGGTGTTTGGAAGCTAAGTGATTTCTTAGGTAAACTAATTTAATGTATTAATATTTATAGCACAGTTATGATTAATTGTATGTATACCACATGTGTAGTAAAATGCAACTAAAAATATTAAGAAGGATATGCACCGTATAGATATCAATATTATTAATTCAAATGTGTCATTTGGTGTGATTTACGATCTCCCTATATGTAAAAATGTTCAAATCATGACATGAATAATACAATTATAACAAATTATATTAATACTACCTATATCAATACTGAATATCTACGTACTACACAGTTTCAGATTTTCATCATGGTAATATGCAATTATAGAAATATAGAATAAATAAGAAACAGTGTTCTCTTCAAGGGTGATCGAAGGGGCATTAGCATTTTTTTGAATATTTGTCAATAGTTTTGAAATTAAAATTAACATAAAAACCAACAGAAGATTAAAATAATAAATAGAAAAATTTATTCAAATACTAAAAATGCGTAATTGATTTAAATGGATTACTCTAAACGTACCATTTATGTATGGATGATTTCTAGTTTTCTAAACACTGGTGTATAAATATTATATGTTTCAATATTTAGATTTAACCATTCTAACCAGATGCCCACAACTTAACACATAAGTATAACTACCTATAGACATTTAGCTATTTTGTAATAACTAAAAAATAGTAGGTTACTAATAGTAAAATAAATTACTTTAATAGTATTAATATCATACGAATATAAAATATACTTAATATATGCTGACAGACCGTCTTTGCTCAGAATCGTCTTTCTTACTTCTCATTTTCTCTATGACGAAGTACACTCTACCACCAATTGAAGCAAAGCAGTACTTACCTACTTTTCCCATTTTCTTAAATATATTTATTATTTATGACTTATTAGTTATTAGTAATTTCATATTAAAATACAATGTTGAGAAGTGGGTATCAGTTACTTGTAATCAATATCAATGAAATAATATTGTGAACATTTAATTGTATAATTTCAACAATAAATTTACTATCAATAAGACTTTCAGGAAACACGAATGATTGGAAGCAAATGTATGACACTAATGTCATAGGTTTAACTATTTGTAGTAGAGAGGCCATAAAAATCATGGAGGAAATAAAAATCAAACAGGGTCACATAATAAATATTAACAGGTAACTATTTTAATTTTAATTTTATAAAATTGTATGGAGGTTAATATTATGTTATTATTTTTTTAAATAAACTTTAAAAAAACAAATATCTCTGTATTATAATTCAAGTTTCCTATGATAATATTTGTCATATATATATATATATTTTGATTGGATAGATATGTACTCATTTGTTGAATATTAATCGAATAACTTCAAATATCATATCATGATGTTTAGTTGTTTGATAATTATTTTATATTAATTATTTACTAATTTATTTCTAAGTTCTTAACAATAACTTATGTATTATTAATGTGATATATAATATTATATTGTAATTATTTGTTTTAGTTTTGCAGGTCATAACCAAATTTCATTTATAAAGGATATTTCAGTTTATGCCGCTACCAAACATAGTGTTACCTCAATTACAGACAATTTAAGAGAGTTGATGGGTATGAAAGATTTACCCATCAGAGTTACGGTAATATATTACTATATTAGTATATAAGTTTATACTTTATGTATAAGCAGATATGCTGTATAAATATGTACCTCTATCACTTATAATGTCAATCTGTCTATCGTTAGTTATTAAAACTCAATGGTGTAGTAAATTATTTTTAATTTTTTATATAAATTCGTTAGTACGTTATCTATATTATACCTATAAATTATAATCTATACGAATGTAAGAAAAAATCCAGGGAAAAAATCCAAGAAAAAAAGCCACAGGAAAAATAGTCCTAGGAAAAAAAATCCACGAAAATACTTAAGCCACGGAAAAAGGCAAATAAAATGTAATAAATATTCAAAAAAATTAAATTTAAGTATTAAGTTATTATTTTTAATTTTGATCACAGTTGGTCAAATGTTACAGTTTAAGAAAAACTTCCAATTTATTTATTTAAAAAAATTACCATCTTGTACAAAGTACATAATATATACATTATATATCAATTGATTTCAAGATAATATTATTATGAAGGTAGTTTATCCACAAAATACCATGTTATTTTTGTTCAATTTATGGCATTTTTTGGCATTTTACTGAAAGAAATTCTATTTCTTTGGTTAAGACAGAACTGTTTTATAAACGTTCAGTCTCACACATCTATCTCCAGAGTTAAGATTTGTCTTCTTTTTCAAAGTGTTTTATAGGTACTCACTACTCATAACCTGTGTATTAATAATTTTATAATATTATATGTATATGCAGTGAAATCAGTTGTGTTAAAAATTAAAATTTTTATAATATAATTTAATTATGTTCCTACATAGTAAAACATTGTGCGGATGTAAGTTACAAAGCAGGAAAATATATTAGATGTAATATATAACTAATAATTATATTTCATTTTCATCATTTTAATAAAAATTTTCATAATTATAAAAAAAATTGTATATTTTATATGGCTTATATACATTTTAATACTATAGTTACTAAAATATATAGTATATTTAATAATATTTTTTTCTGCCATATATTATATAGGAACTTACGTACGCATCTTGTTTTGCCATTAGAAACTTACATAATATGCAACAAACCTAACCTATCGTGTAGGAACTAATATGTATTTTTTTTACCTGTTAGGTCTCGTGTATAAACTTACATCCACCCAACTTGTTAACCGCAGACTAAACCGTAGGACTTGAGACTTGAAATATTGGTGGTATATATCTCTTATGGTATAGGGGTGAGATAAGAAAGGATATAGAAAAATTCTCATTTTAAAGATGGGCTAACGTAGGAATTTTGTTCCAGGAAACTAAAATCTAATATTTTGTTGTACAATGTACATAAATTGTTGCAATTGCAACAGGTTACAGAAAATAAGATAGTGATTTGTAAACTTATGTACAAAATTTAATGTAATATTGCATGAAACACGCACAGATCATTTGGCTATATATATACCTACTATTCCGTTTGCATGTCTGGGAAAGACTTTGAAACGGATAAATTGATTTTGGCGGGATATTCACAGGTATTGTATTACTCGGTGAATAAAATATTTATTATGACTGGATATAATTTTAGACCTGCGTTCTATATTTGATCAAAACAACCCAAATAAATTAAAAATCTGTGCAATGTACTTTTAACAGAATTTGAGAAAGAATAAATCTACGGCCCTATACAAGCATATCATTAGTAACGGACAAAGTCGCACCACAAGATTAACCTGTTTAATTTAAAGTTTATTATTATTTTTTGATGGTCGACATTATTTAGAGTTTCTTATTACTTTTAGTTTCAGATACATAATACTTTCTTTAATAACTAGTTTTTTTGTTTTTAAGAACACGGAGAGTAAGTTTCATCTTGGTTTTTAAATTTAAATTTTTAGAATATGTTATTTAAGTACTACACAAGGTGCTTAATATAGAAAATTGAATGTAATTTCTTTTTTGTATTTGTCTATCAATATAATTTTGATTCACATATTACATATTTTAGGTACTGAGGAATCCAGTAATAACTAATAATAATAGCATAATAATAACATTATTATTAGTTATTTGCTGATGTAATACGCACATCTTTTTTTAAAATTATTTAATACTAAAAACTAACTATTAGAGAGATAATAATAACACGTGAAAAAATTTACTGCGCATTAAATCCTATTTATTTATCTATTATTCTATTGACTGTAAATATGTTAAAAAGTACCTACATATATTACAAATTCACAAAATATTCTATATACCTATATTTTAAATTCAAAATGAAAAATGAATATTCCGTACTAATTGTATACATTTTTAAATACATAGTTTTAGTTAAAAATGTATCGTTTAAATTTCAGAGTATCAGCCCGGGAGCAGTAGAAACCGAAATGACAGAAGAGTTCAGAAAATCAGGAGCGCATAAGATGATGAAAGCTATTGATATTGTTGATGCTATTATGTTCGCATTGAGTGCACCACAGCGTGTTAACGTAAGTCTAAAATAATGTTTATTTATATATAAATTGTATAATATATTTATATTTATTATTTGTCATATTATAATAGAATTATAGATAAGTTAGTACTATTATATTTTGAGTTCATCCATGTTTTTCAAAAAAGTTATAACTACCTAATAGTTATTTATGTAATATGTGGTTAGATTATTAATTTGTAAGCATACTTAGCATTACTTCCTAGCTATATGTACCTATATTGTATATTATAATTAATAAGTACAATAAGTACATACATATCAAAATATTTTATTACCCGGAATTATTTTATGTAAATCGTCCACTATAATATTCTTTGTAAGTATGCCACCCCCTATCAGACATATTTGGAATTTTTTAAAATTTTTTTCACAAAACTGTAGTGCATAATTTGTTTGAATTTATACGACCTTCGCTTTTCTTTGTCGAAACAAAAGAGTGTTCGAAGGGATGGCGGTGATGTGATTTCAGCCAACACTTGGTTAAACATTATGCACTCATATAGGTTAACTGGTTAAACTACACCATAATTTAGTACGCTATTTATGTGAATTTGTACCAATATTTTCATCATTTTCACGATAATCGCTTAGCGGCAGCTATGTTTTTTAAAAAACACCATCATACCACCTCCAATCAGAATCAAATTGTAATGCTTTTGCATTATTCTCTATTTCTCCCTATATTTTAGTACGTATTTCATATGAATTTGTACGATTTGTCCCAATATTTGTACTTTGCCCCTTCGGTAACAAATCCCTTTCTAAAAATATGCCATTTGGTTCCACAATTTAGAAATTAATTACGTGTTAATGAGTTTTAATTTTTACAGGTCGCAGAAATCATCTTGACACCAACAGGCGAGAATATATTAGGTTTTCTTAAGAATTCCGCATAGATATAAATTATGATTAATATACACATCCGTGAGCCGCACTTCAAGTTAACAGCATCATGAACAATTAATATACGTAGTAGGTACGTTTATCGCTTTTTAAAAATATATATTTAATACTATGTGTGCATATGCATATGGCATTATTGGCATTATGACATATCTTATACGAGTTATAATGGATAATATGTTTTGATAAGCCTGCAGGTTGATAACCTATCTATTATAAATAAATCCATCATTACCTTTACGTAATTCTTATGAGTCTTAAATAGGTACCTTTCAATAGTGTTATCACATATTTATACCAAATTCACCTATGCCCACTGCCCAGTGGCCACTACCAATCAACACGTCACATCTTCTTATTGTAATACTCTGTAAAGCAGATTGTTGTTCATCAAAATAAAAAATTAAATAAAGAACTATTTCAATATATTATTGTATTATTATAAATTTCTTTTAAATAGATATTATAACTCTTTTTTATGTTTGTTTTGTAATTTATTTTTCTCTTTAAAATATATGTATTGATGTAGGTATTATACGATTTCTTTGTTGGGTTACTTTAAGCTGTTTGAAGTTTATAAATAAAGAATATTTATTTTAAATACACACAAAACGATGTTATTTATTGAAAATATAAAACAAATAAACCATACAAATGATTTTTATTTCCTGACTATAGTTAAGTATTAATTAATGATACAATTTATCATTTGTCTTCATGGTATATTGGTATTTAATAGAATTAATTTCATATTTAGAGGTTCGATCCACTGCACTCTAATCTAGTCTAGTGTGCCTAAAACACGCATATACAATTAAAGTAGGTTCTCTAATGATTTATTATAACTGCAGGCGAAACAACAGTTTTCAAAATATGCTTCACACCACAGTCGTTTTTGTGAAAGAAACTGATCCATCTATAAGCTATAACATACCACGAAAACTACTATCAATTTTGTTATTTGTATAAAAAATATTAAGCATTTTCAATGAAAATTTTCTAGTAAATAAAATTCACGTAAATTTCATACTGATTTAATATAAACTCTAGTATAGCCTATAGATAATAGATGTACAAGCTAGGTAACACAGCGAATACACACTACACGTTTGTCAATCACTGGACATGCTGGTGTCTCGGCGTCTTAAGCATAACACGACATACTACTAACCTACCCCCTTCCTCACAACATATTCTAAAACTTTAAAATCTATCAATTATTAATAGAAAATAACATATAGTTGCCTAAATTAAGATATACTATTGTCACATTCTAGTAGGTATTCTACAAACCATAAAAACTGGAAATGTCAGCTACCTATACTTATAGATATTTTTTATAAAAGCAACAATAATAGTGACAGGTAACTTTACACTCGGATTGGTGGACCGCGGACACGCATTATAATAATATACGTAGGTAGCAACATGAATGTTAATATAAGGTATTTTAACTATTTATTCATACCTATAACGTAGATAGGTATATAGAAACTTGAACCTGATTTGTGTTATTAGGATTTTTGTTGACGCTTAAATAAATCCACCTAAATATTTTATTAGAATGTGACTTCAAAATATATACTTATATAACACATCGTTTGACAGTCAGAATTATAATAATATCTATTATAAATAATAAACTACCCCAATAGTTGAATTCTGTCTGCAACCCTCTATTATTATCTAAATACCTTAAATAATAATAGACGTTTGAAAAAACAGTTCTTTAAAATAATTCATTATTCTCTGAATGTTCTTATCAAGCAGTTGTAAAAACAAATAAAATGACATTATTAATTGAAAAAAAAAATTACCAACGAAAATTTTATCAAATACTTATGACCGTGGCATTTTTCTTGGACACTAATAAATATCGTTATATTTCAAGCTTTATAATGCAATTTTATATATTTGATTGGATGGTTTTAGTGAGTAATAATAATATTATACTATATTGTTTGAATTTTTTACCAATAAATATTTGATTTTATAAAACACTTACACAGTATTAGATTCTGAGCGAAGCGATGAATGTATGGATAATGCCTACAATGATTTTTTTTTTCATTTGTGTAGTTCTCATCACCTTATTTATCATAAAAACAATTGGTTTTTCAACTTAGAGGATGATTTCTAGTAGCAAACAGAATATAGTTAGTATTTTGGGCAGTCAAAATTAAAAAATCCCAATACTTTTCAAAATTACCGAAAAAAATAAATAGGTGAGAACACAGTAAAAACGTGAATTTGAGAGACACCCAGTTTTCTACAAGATCTTTTTCTTATTTTGTTGTAATTTAAAAATTATAAAAATTGTAGAGACTTGACATTTTTACCAAATACTCATATTAGCATTTAACTTTGATAGACATAAAACAATTTTAAAAATATTTTGGACCTTTTTGTAGTATTTATAAGTATTTTAAATTTTCAACTTTTTTAGTTTTTTTTTCTTGATGGTGTACGATAACATTTTGGTTTTTGTCTCTCAGTCTCCGTCCTACAAACATATAACAAAGCAAATTCAATTAATTCACTAAAAATGTTTTACTTGCTTTAATATTAGAATGAAATTACCATTCATCGAGTTTAAATTTAGGCATCCTTAGGATTAAAGACCGGATTTATATGCATTTAAAATTTTAAGGTATGCAAGAAAAAGATGGAAAACATGCAAAATAAAATTTCAATTCTTATTACACTTTATATTTGATTTTAATTTTACAGTAATGATTATTTATTATTTTTACTAAAATTTGCATAAACAAAAAGTAAGATGTATAACATAACAAATATGTAACAAAATAATGTAATTTAATTTTTAATCATTGATATATTGTAAAAAATATTTTATTAAAATTAAATAGTAGATACATTGGTGATATACTGATATAAATAGGAAAAAAGTACGAACAATTAAATGTAGTATGTTAATTGAAAAACCAATAACCTAATCCAGAAATATTCGAACTTTTTCATCCCACGGCCCCTTTAAGTCTTCACAAAATGTTGACAGCTCCCAAATCATGACAAAAAAATCAATGTTTATATGATTGTAATTTATATTTTATAATTTATTTACCATATTACATATATAACATAAATTAAAGCTATATTTAGCGAATGATTGTTCTAGACAATTCAACGTTTCCCAACCGGTGTGCCTCAATGATATTAGTAAATGTTTTTCGTAAAAATATTTATTGGTTTTCAATTATACTACGCGGCTCACTTCGACACTCCCGCGACACCCCTGGGAGCCGCGACGCACAGTTTGAATACCTCTTACCTAATCTATTTTGAGTGTCCCAATATTCTTTGAGATGTAAAATATTTGATATTAATATTATATAAACGTACCTATAATCAGTTTTTTTTTTGCTCAACACCTTTTTAGATCGTTAGGTGTATATTTGTACGGTTTTTTGTTAAAATATGAAAAAATATGCAGAACACGCACTAACGTCAGAATATGCAAAAATATGCACTATAAAATTTTGATATTTAATCAATCAAGTAATGATTTGTGGACACTCATTTACTGCATGTATATGATATTGAAAATAGCAACATGCATATTATGCAAAATCCGGTCTTTACTTATGATGTATTTCGTATTCTTGTAGGCTTTTAATTTTATTTAAATTTTAATTTTAAAGCCAGTCATTATGAGCATAATACAATTGTAATATTTTACACTTTTAGATTAACTCACTTTAAAATAAAAAAAAAATATATATATAACAACTTTCCAAGATAGTAAATTTAATTTAAAATTTTACAATAGGTCTATTCACTCTTATATTAAAGCTAATAACTCAAAATTGGTTCAGCCGAACGCGAATTTGGTATGTACGAGTCGTATGTATGTCGTAGTAGTGCCACGTCATGTACGTTCCTTAGACAGATACAACACATGCGAGATTTGTGCCCTTTTAAATATTATTTATAATATGAGCTATTTTATTTTTATTTTTATTATTAATAAACATTAAATAAAAAATATAAATACAAGTATTATACTACTATTGAAATAATTGGCTTACATATTATCTACCTTCTTTAACTTATTTTGCTTGTGTCGAAAGTAGAGTCGTTGAGAGTTATCTAATGTTTTCGTTTAATCTATAAACTAAGTAATCAAATTTACAAAAATAAAAATACAAAGACAAAAGTTAAAATATTATAATTATATTCAAATTAAATATAAAATATTTACATTATAAGTGACATTATTCATTTATTCATAATATCGTATCGTGAATACTAATATGTTATACTCTTAAAATAAAATAAATCTTCGTTATTAATGACGTATATAAACTGTATAATATTTTATTTGAATTATCAGGTATTTTTGGCTTCAGCGTACAATATTTGGGACGAAAAGTCTGAAATGCTTATGGTTATGGAGTTAATTCAATACATGATAGTTGGAGTATATTTCAGTTTAATTTTTGTGGTATTTATAACAAAAAAAAAAGACATTGTGTCCAATTACGATTGTATACAAACCGATTTTATCCAATGGTCCAACAAAAGAGCATTGAATCCAAATGTGGCTTATAAAAAAAATATAAAAACAATTAAACGTTTAGTAATACCTTTAGCAACATTATCATTATCTATTGCATTTGGGCCTTTAGTATCAGCTATAAACGATATTGGCAAACTGCCATTGGATAACCGAGCACATTTCGTCTTGTTTTGGCCTAAGGTAAATTTAGTATGGATGACTATAATAGTCAACCTCACGAAAAGTGAGAGCTCAAGGCCTCTGTGGGGTGCCCAAATTCTGTCGGAACCAAAGGTTTTTCGCATTGAACGTATTATTGTTGTCAGCTGTTGAGTAGAACCTTAAGTAGAACATCATAAAAGATATCATATAATAGAGACATTTAGGTAGATAATTTTAAAAAGTGCACCAATTATATTGATAACCACTAATGGAAATTGTCTACTTATAGCCTTCACGTCAGCGATCAATTTTCGTGAGCAAGACTGTAGATGACTAATGAGTAAGTGTAGTATTGACGTATTGTTCGTTGATTCAGAGAATCAAAGTTATTTTTATTTTATCAATTAATTCCATTATACAATAACATGTTATTGATAATTACAACACCAATAATTTGTATATTGTACAGGTAAGTATAAAGTACCGTCTTTTGATGTTTTCCCATCAAGGTTACAAGATAATACAGGAAAACATAAAAAGCCATCATAAATAAATTAAGGAGCCAGTACAAGAACCAGGTATCAGAATATTTTGGAATTGTTCATCAGGAGGTATAAAAATTATACCCGGTTATTACACGGGACTCTGTATACCACAAAAAATCTCCATTTTTATGGTATTAGATTATCTAACAGACGAATATGCCTGGTTATTACACCTAATGGTAGACAAAATTACTATTTATCAAAAAATTTAAAAACATGCATTTCGGAAAAAAGTGGAAACACCCAGTTTTTGCACTGGACCTTTCCGGTCCAATTATTATAATATTCATTGAGTAAATATCGAACGATATTTCAGTAGAAAAATTGTTATTAAACATCCAATAGGGTACATCGATCTTTAAATTGACATTATTATATTAGTGATTTTTTTTATTTTAATATAAAAAAATATTCCTCCACTAATAATAACATATTTACTACAATATTAGTGAGTATTTAATATTAATCGAGTATGAATTATTTTTTCAAAACAAAAAAAAAATCCATGCATTATGACGTGTACTATTAATATTTACTATTTAGTATTTATTATATTATAAAAGTAGTTGATAGTAATATAATATGAGTACTGTATTAAATTATTAACTAATAACTAAAATGCGTATAATATCTTTGTACCTATGTATTACACGTGTAGTTGGTATATGAATAACTTGTGAGTTGCAATTCACAATTGATATTTCATATGCATTAATGAATATTTTTAATTTCTAGATTGTTGATACTAATAAAGTCAGTATGTATGGAATCATTTATTCACTGCAAGTCATATTTACTGTTATTTTATACATTTCGGTTTTATCGTTCAATTTGGGTTTTATGGTATTTTTGAATGAATTAACTAACCAGTTTGAAATGTTATTAGATGGAATTAACGATGCGTTTAAATATAAAATGGATAAACAGTTCCAAACTCTTTTTATTGATTGTATACGTCACCATCAAATAATTATTAAGTGAGTATTATTAGTTATTAAGACAATATAATATAATAAATGAATACACTTATTTATTATAAGTGGTCGAAGCAGCTCGAAATACATGGAAGAATGGAAAGTGTAAATTATAAAAAATGGAGTGATGCCATCCACCCACTTCGATCACTATTTATTTTTAATTACATCAAGGGCGTAGCCTTGTGGGGGGAGGGTAGAGGAGGCAAAATGACTAGCTACGTCCTTGAATAACAGTTAAGAGCTATTGTGATAAAATGCCTAAATACTTATACTCAATTTACTCTGTTCGGCTAAAAAACACACCACGGACCAACGAAAATCTGTTCTTCTACGCATCCCCACACGACGTCCAGACCTAAACGAAGACCGGCTAAGCTGATATGAGTAAAAAGAACCAGTTTCTATGATTCTATGGCACCGTAACGTGGGGGATGCACAGAATTGACGTGTTCTCTCGTTGAACAGAGTATAGGTTTAAGTATATATTATTATGATGCATTAGGGCTTGGAGCCTTATGATTTTTTTGGTTTCGGTCCATTTCAGTTCTCCAAAAAAAATTCTGTACTGGTTCTCAAACTTACAGAATTAAGGTTTCGGTTCTAAAACCGGTAAATACCGATATTTAGAGGTACATTTTTTTCTCAAAGTAAAAAAAATTAAATTTAAACATACATATGTCTAAAATGATATAAAATAAAACTATTGCAGTGTTAGGGGTCAAAATACTTTTTTAGCAAATTTACCGTTTTATTTAAAAACATTCATAACAATTTTTAAAAAATAGGGCTGACTTGTGTTATAAGAAGCGGAAGTGAGCAGTACCAATGCATTATATAATTTTATGCAATCGAACGAAAATAATATCAACATTGTAGTTGTTTATATCATTTATTTGCTTACGAAACACTTGAGAATTAATGAACTCTTGATATATTATCCTTAATTATGTATTGGTTCTTGTAAATTAATTTTCGATAAATAGGTAGTAGGTACATAATTTTTTATACAAAAATATATTGAAATGAATGGTCAACGCTAAATATAGTCCAATTTATCCCACCCTAAGATCCTTGATTAACTCACACTGTGGTTGTGAATCTTTTTTTAATTAGTAGTTTGAACACTCTGAACTACTGCAATTTGTAACAGAATTTTACAATATATAAAGTGTATTTTACATAAAAATCATATTTTGTGTAAATAGATACCCACTTAATTTAATACTTAACTGATGTTTTTTAGAATAAATTAAAATGGCAACATAACTTTCCTACTAAAAGGTATTTTGATTTATTGACTTTTCTTATTTCAACTTTAAAGTGTAAACCTGAATTCATGTTTGATTATTTTCTGTCTAAGTTAATATGAAACTATAATGTACAATATAATAGAGTCTGAAATTAATTTTACTTTTAAATTTTAATCTAGACTAGATATTAAAAAATAGTGATAGTCAAATATAGTAAACATTATTCGTTATCATCCATAACTCCTATTTTATTATTATAAGAAATTGTTCAAAAATGATATTTAATATGGAATATATATGCATATAAAATATATAAATAAATAGGTGTAAATTAGTTATATTTTATTCAAGTCACAATCTCATAACAACTTCTACGGGTACCAGAGACCAAAGTACGTACATTTATTCATCAACATCACCATAATGTCGCCGTCCAAAACAATGTATAAATAATAAATATAAAATAATTGGGGGGAGATAATCATAACGACGGGTTTTTAAAACCGACAGGCGAATAACAATATTTATTATTTATACATTTTTATTTTGGTGACTGCTCATATTTCATCGTTTTCTGCAGTGCCGCAACTTGGTACATATTGGTGGGTGTGCGAGCAACTAAAAAGGGCCCATGTACAGAGGCGCAACAATGGGTGGGGGGGGGCAAAGCCCCCCTCCAAAAAATATTCCTTATTTATTTAAATATAAGCCGCTTATAGGTTATTTTAAATTAATAGTTTTGTTAGGTGGGCTGTATAGCCCCCCCCCCCCAGAAATTTAAGCCTAGTTGAGACCATCTTCATGCACCAATAGGTCATTACACATTGCTTGTTGTTTTTAGCTATATACATTATGTTATGTGGTTAATATAATATTCACTGCTATACTGCTTACAGATAGGTGAAGAGCTTTGAACACATATGAGTGAGGACTAAGGAGCAGTGATAGCGGCACTTAAAAACATTTCTTTTCTTTCTTTTCACAATTTAAATGCAATAAACATTTTAATTGGAAATCAGCCGTCACAACATAGCAAAATTATCAATTATGTGATCAATATTCAATCCATCTGTTCGTGCCTTTTCAATGTTTAAAATGCTTATATTTGTTAGTCGTTCTTGAGAAATTGAATTTCGTAAATAATTCTTAAACAACTTAAGTTTTGAAAAAGAGCGTTCTGCCGATGCAACAGTTACAGGTAGAGACAAAAAAATTATGCAGGCAGTAAGTATTTCACTAAAAAGTGATGAAATATCATTTTCTATAATATATAAAGACAATTCTTTTATTGTTTTCATTTCAGTTTTTCCTAGAAAATCTCTTAATGATAAAACTTGCCTGGTCAAATCAGACGAAACATCAGTATTATAAAATGAAATGAAATCATAACATGACTTAATTATATCCTCTTCACTGTACTTAATTAAATTCAGAGGTTGTAAAAAGTCAAAATTTCTTGAAACTGTTTCAAGTCCTTTGAAACGTTCTTGTAATTGAAATATAGCAGTATCAGTAAGGGGCAAAAAAACAGTAACGCGAAAGTTTTCTTCAATTGTGTATAATCGTTTATCATTATCAATACTATCATACTGCGGCGGCGGCGGTGGTACTTTTCGGTGTATCCTAAACTAGTCGCGGTGTGTTTTGACCGCGCGGCGCACCACAATTTTATTGAGTACCCCTGGGCCCTGGTCTTTCGTTATCGCGCCGCCGCCGCCGATGCCTGCTCAATTTATCCGGCAACGACTAACCATTATTTTTCTGTACATGTATAAATTGTTCTTGGAAATGTCACTACCTATAAAATACACCGAAGACCTAAATAAGACGTCTTGTATGGCGTGTCTTGGCGATACGGGTTGCGATAACTGTTAAACATACTCATAAGTTAATAATATTTTCTATTTCTATTTTTAAATAACAAATAAATATTTTAAAAGAAAACAATTTCCAAATAGTTCGGCCACTGGCCCCGGGGCCCATTGTTATGATTTACAGGGGGCCCGGGGGTTCTTTGCACCCCTAGCACCCCCGGCTGTTGCGGCACTGGTTTTCTGTAACTGTTGATTGTAGAAATATAAAATTATAAATACACGCACACATTTACAACATCAACCAAATTTAAGGAATCGACTATTATTATTTATTTTTTAAATATATAACATAGTTAAATAAAATCGGTACCAAAAAAAACCGAAAAATTCTCTTCCAACATAATATACCGGTTCCGGTTCAGGTATAGGTTCCAAATAAAATAAAAAACGGTTTCAGTAAGGTCCTGGTTAAAATACCAGTATTTTTAATTTCGGTTCCAAGCCCTGTGACAGATGTATTCAATGCGTTAGATATATATTAAATTCAAATTTTTTATTACATTTTTTTATGTTTGATAATCTAAAATTGTATTTTTAGTTTCTGAGTGAAGAAATATGATTTATGTAAAGTAATGTATAACATTATTTGAATATGAGTAAATAAGTAAGGCATCAACCAGATAATAAGTTAATTCAAATTTTTAACATATTAAGTAAATTTAGTTAATTTTTTAATTGTAACATATTAGCTAGGTATTGAAGAATTACATATTTATAATTTAATTAGAGTTAAGTTTAATACACTAATGTAACTAGTGGAGGGAAATAAAAATATTTTATCTTTACCATAGATAACGCATATCATCTAATGTGGGGGCGGTCCCATTGTCGCCCTAGCAGACGGCCTTGATTCAAAATACCAAATATTAACAAAATATAGCAAATAACTTTATTTATGCGATAATAACTCTAAAGTATTAACAAGTAACAAATTAGTTTTTAGTACCATTAGTTATTAAAAACTAAAAATCTGTTAATCTTTATAAAATTTTGCAGTATTATTAATTATATTTTTTATAAATAAAATCCTTTAATGTATATTGTATAAGTATTTATATTAGTGTGGAAATGTAATTTTTTTAATATGTATCTTTACCTATTTCTGTATTTTTTAAGTTTCTTTTCCGTGAAAGAGTGTTTTATAGAATATCGTAATGATAAAAAAGCAATAACGAGCAACACAAAGGTAGATAGCATGGCGTTGTGAATAATTGACAATTACTCTGAACTTTTATTTAAATAGATTTATTTTACATATTTACCCAATCTATTATAATTTATAACGCAATAGTACGTTTATACTTTTGTTTACAATTTTCCCAGGGTAAAATTGTTCCAAAAATGGCATAATATTTTTAATAATCACCCTATAATCAAAGAATACTTCATTATTTTATTTAGATACTCATGACAACAATGATTTAAAAAATGATTTTGAGCAAATACATTAATTCATTATTATTAAGTGGATATAGATTTTTGAGTTCTTAAAAACATATTAGGTGTCTATTGGCGATTATAACATATTAAAATAATTTCTAATGATCTCTAATTTTCAACGTTTTATTGAACTAAATAAGAAATAAATAATAATTTATAAATATATAAATATACAATAATAGTAGTATCATCGTATAAAATATAAAAAATATCATACTAAAAATACGAGGATTGAATCATTGTTATACCGCCAATTAATGCCTACATATATATATTTCTTACTCTTTCTCAATCTTTGCTCAGAATCTAAAATATAATTTTATGCAGTATTTAATATTCTTAATCTTGTAGACATACTTTTATAACTCCTTATGTTTTAGGTTTTTAGATGATTTAAAGTCATATTTCAAGTGGATGATCCTAATTGAAATGATCGTAGTGCAAGTAGTACTGGCCATACTTATTTACAATCTAACAAAAGTATAATTTCTAAAAATTTATTATTTAAATCTAATTGTTTGTTAGTTGAACAAAATACGTGTATATATTTTATTAAATAATAATATTGTTATGTTTTTTTAATAGGTACATGCTTCCCTCGGTTATAAGGTGAAAATTGCTGGTTCGTTATTATTTAATTTACTCCCAATTTGTTTTCATTGTCACATCGGAGAAGTCGTCCTAGGCCTGGTAAAATATTTTTATGTTTAATTAACAAAATTAAATAACATTCTATAATAATTTAACAAATTGTTTGACCATTCGCCTATGTCTTTTTACCCTTTAAGTTAGGGATGTGTTGACCATGTCCATCTATATTTCCATATTCCACGGCTTACCCGAATTGTTTATAATACAATTTTTAATTTGGTCGTTTTAATTTTTATAAAATTCAAGTTTAAATTTTGAATAAACCACACCCAATAAAGGTTTTCCGTTAATAATTAATTCTAATGAGTAAGTAATCAGTTATGGCAATTAGTGAGGTAATTTTTGTAAGACTAGTTTAAGCAACGTTCAATAATGTCTAAAATTGTACCAATGTTTAAACAATAATTATTTTAAATAAATAATTCAATTTTAATACGATTGTTACGTACATCCGGTATATCTTACGAGACATGGTTGAAATATTGTAATACGAGAATCAAATTTTTAAATAAATGTTTATTCTCGTAGGCCTTTATTCTAGATTAGAAAGTACTATACTTATAGTGAGTATTCGTTAAATTTTAAATTTCGGAAAAGTTTCATCAACCATCAGATTATATTTACTGACTAAAAATGTGTTTTCAGATTTTAATATATACTTATTTTTAAGGTATTTGCACGGTTAGTATAAGCCGGTACTATAACTTTTCAGTTTGTTGGACCGTTTTTTTCGTTAAGCTTAAATTTGACTGTCTTATAACTATAAGTACATATAGTCAAAAATTACGATAAAGTCATCCTCAATAATAATCTTCACTAAATGTGTTTCAAAGCTGGATCAGCTGAGTACTATGATTGGTGTTATAAATTCATAAATTATTAGAATTCGATTAAATACAATTGTGTTTATGCGATTATATAACTACATGTAGCTGCATGCACATCATATGAAATAAAATATCATACACCTACAAATTATTGTTTTAAATAAAAAAAAAAAAAAAATTATTGTTATATTTGTTTACAGCACAAACGTTTGTCGAATCACATTTATAACATGACGTGGTATGACATGCCCAACAAAAACAAACAACTCATCGTGATTATGTTTCAACGCACTCAACGAGATCTGACATTAAGTTCAGCTCTGTTTTCAAGCGAAAGAGCATCTAGATCTTTGATTTCTAAAGTTATTAAACAAGTGTACACAATTCTAAATGTATTGTTGAAAACATAAATGGTCAATAAGTTGACTATTTTTTATAGATAACTAAGTGACTTTGTGACAACGGAGTAGTTGGATAATATATATATCAATGTATCATCCCTATATGGTCGTGTGCACTGTATAAAAATTGTATAAATGCGTTTAACATACGTCACTTATTAGTTATTAGTTATTTTAGTATTAAGAAAATGGCAGCACACTTTAATAAGTTGTTATAATTTAGATGAAAAAAATGAATACACAAATAAATTATAACAGCATTCCAAGGAATGACTTAATCAGTCAGTGTCATATATTTTTGATTATGAGCGGAGCGTGATAAATGTATTGATTTTACAACGGTGTGTTTTTTCTTTGTGTGTGTTTATTCGATAAGAAGTCGAAATAATGCTTCGATGTTAAACTTCATTATTTTTTCTGGTTAGTAAGTGAATCTAGTTGGTGTATTCGAGAGCCGAGAGGTAAAAATTGAAAATTTCTTATAGTTTTTGAGAACGTCGGGAAAAACAAAAAAAAATGTTTTTTGAAATTGTATTTTGTTTAGTTATAAACTTAAAACTCATTTTTAGTAAGACCCGGTGTATTAAACTGAGAAATGTTGTAATGTTCCACTTGTTTAAGCAGGTGGTTCCTTGCTTGGATGGTAATTCTACGAGTTTGGTTTAATTTTTGAGACATCATAATTTTAGTTTTTTGCCAGTTGATCATCAAATGATATTTTTTGGAATCATCTTGCCTTTTTTTCCATAGCTCTTTTCAAATTATGCTCATTATTGACTAAGAGTGCAATATCATCAGCGAATCTTAGGATATTATTGTTAACTCCACCCATTATTATGCCTATTTTCTCTCTAAGAATAATTCACTAATTTCATTAATAGGCTTCTAGACTGAAAAATAGATGGTGAGAGTGGACATCATTGTCTTACATATTATTTTATAATTATCATTGTCTCTGATTTGCCAGTTAAAATGTATTTATGGACAATATTGAACGCTACAGAGTGCAGACTACCTGTAATGTACCTATTTTGCCTATACAATACGCCAGACCATACATTATTCTGTTTGCGCGAAGTATGTAGAACAATTTATTTATTTTATACGTATCATCACTTATCAATGTGTACAACATTTCTTTAGAGTACCTAATCTATAACCCATGTTTTAGAATGATATATTTTTTTTATCATGAATTATAATATAATGATACATTTCAATATAAATTGGCTGTTATCAAGACTAAGAATTCAAAATTACTGTAAAAACTAAGGTCTAAAAGTTCTCACAGCCGAATGTGTTTTAAAAAAGCAAAACCACTTAATTAATTATAAGTTTATATTGCATTGGATGTTAAAGGCTGCAGTCTATTTCGAATAACGAACAAATTGATTAAATACAAATAAATGCAAGTGATATAGAATAACCACTGGGCTGTACACGTTTAAACAATTTCAAACATACTATTATGGAGTTCATTTTTGAATCTGCCCCGATCATATTATATACAACTCATATACGATGTACAATGCACATTACACACAATATAAAGTCAGTATCGGTAAAAATCCATAGTATAAGAAATAAATTGATCGTAATCTAAATAAAATATTATAACATTGTATTGAAATATTAACAAATGATCGTCATATTTTTGTGTTTTTGAAATTCCGGAAAAATTGAAAAGTAGAAGTTATTTTTTAATTTGACTATACAATGTACAAACTAGATCCAATTTTCTACCAGAAACCACTCCCAAAGTTGAAAATCAAAACATTTCCCCTCTATAATAGGTGTCTTAAAAACACCACAAAAAATTAATATTAAAAAAAAAGTCCCATTTTTAAGAATGCGACAAAATTAGGACTAATAACTATATTATCGGAATAGGAGGTAATTTGCTAAAATCTATAAGACTATATGAGAACTATTATGATTTATAATATTGTGACAATACTTATTACTTTTACTTATAAGTATACTCTACGACAAATGGCAATTTACATTTCTTTCTGATCGGGTTAATTAATAATTTCACAAAAATCAATACTTTCGATTCGGGGTGGCGAAATCGATGCAGGATTATAGCGTTCCTTGTACGGCGGCGGTTAACCAACACAGGTTACTGCCACATTTTGTGTCACCGGAAGAGTCAATATTATGTTGCAAGTTTTTTACTTGGGGCAAGTTATCCTGAAAAATATGTATTTATTGAAACGGACAAGCTACGGAGACACGTATTTTTATTCCCAAGCGAGCAATGTGTAATGTGTATCAGAGTGCAAAACAACCAGACCGTTGTCGGTTCATTTTATTTTACGTGTTACACCGCGCCCAGCTCGTAGAATAATGATAATTATTTGTACATAATATATTGTAATTAGTGTTATACACGCAGTACATAATATCCTTATATCCCGACATTTACCTGTATTGTTGGTATTATTATTTTAAGTTTTAATAAATATATGTTTTGCAGAATAACTTGCCCCCCCAAAACAGCAAAAAAAAACTTATCTAACACTATACACGTAAACTTGTTTATCTCACTTATAACGTGTACAATCAAAAGATTAAGACGTATTCGAACCCAAAAGTTTTCAGATTCCCCCTCCCCTAAAAACTCAAAATTTGGAGTTTGAAGTCTACTTAGAGAGCCAGTGTGGCAATGTCATCATATATTGAACTACGAGTAAACTTGTACACACAGGACGATCAATCATAATTTTTTAATCAAATTTTTTATAATGTTTAGATATTATTAATTAAGTGATACGCTTATATCATATAGATTAAATAATTCATGGTAATTTACATTCGGATAAAATATTGCAGATTTGACATTTCTATAATAAAAGTTCAAAAGGAGTTCTAAAAATTAACATATCATGATTTATTGATTTATCTATACTCAGTTTATGGATTTATTATTTATGATATTATAATACATTAATATCTATCATCTATATGCAAAGCTGGGCAGTAGGTAACTAGTTAAAAAGTTAAAAGTTATTTTTTTGATAACTTTTAATATAACTATAGTTTAAAAAAAATGAAATAACTTTCTTAGTAACTAAGTTATTCCTTTTTATAAATAAATGTTATTTAACTTAGATATTTTGTTAAAACTTAAGTTATTTATGAGTTTTTATTATGAACTGTACCTATATTATTTGCATTGATATTTCTGAGAACTGCCAGGACGGAGGGATATCTGCCAATGATTGTAGGTACCTACATCATTATTTATTTCTATATTATAGACGTATAGTAGTACATGTATGATGTATATACATATAGTAGGTACCTAGTAATTGACTAGTATCATAGTGAATAGTGATTATTATTATTTATACATTTATTTATTAGGTACTTAGTACCTGGTACTAATTTGGAATATAATAAGGAAGTTTGGGAATTTATAAACATATTGTTACTTAATAGGTAATTATAAAATTTCCAGAACGGACCTAATAAGTAATTTCAGATACTGACGTAGTGATACTTCATACCTATACCTAGGTATACGTCTTATAAAATCATATAGTCTGCGCATTTGTTATTAATTTATTTCACTTCATACCATAACTAGTTATTTTCCCACGATGAGATAAAAAACGTTTTAAAGTAACTTGAAGGTTTTTAAAAAAAAAAGTAACTTAACTTAGTTATTATTTTCATGAAAATTGGTAACTTAACTTAGTTACTCAAATTTGTTTATTTTATAAAATGAACTTTAACTTAGCAAAGTTATTTTTTATTTTAGGAAAACTTATAACTAGTTAAGAAAATTGGTTAACTTACTCGGCTTTGTCTATATGACTAATGCTAAACCTCACCATTTGTCTGAGATAATAATTAACGATTCTAATCATTTCAATGACTAAAAAACGGATAAGTGGGTAACGCTCTGTTGTATCATAGAACCATTAGGTGTCTTGAAAGTCACTGCAATGGATGTGTTAAATTTGAATTCAATGATGTAAATTCATATAATCGAAAAACGGTTCTGAGCGAAGACGGCCTATCAGCCTATAATACTACTAATAGTATATTTGATGATATTATTGCGATTAAAGTCATTTATTTTACTATTAGGCATTAGTATTAATAGGCTATATTTGTTTTGGCCAAAAACTACAATTCGAAATATCATAATAATTGTGTGCATAAAATAAATAAACATACCCTAAAAGTGTTTTATATGTCGACGAATATATTATTCAATCACAACAAAATAACTAAAACCGTTATTCTTGGTTTTAAATTTTCAATATGAATAATAACTTGCAATTAATTTTAATACATACATTTATTTTAAACTGTAAGACAAAGACACTATTTCACTAAGAGCTCTATTAAATTAGTTACTATGTTATATTTTGTTAGCTTTAAAAAAAGGTATAGGTATAATTCTTAATTTTCTATGAAAAAAAAGTAATTTAATAAAAAACTGATTTTTAACTAAGTTACGTTTAGCCCTGGTTCACTTGTTGGGTAGTTTTACAAGTTTCGAAAATGAGAAAAAGGAACTTTTAACTTTAAACTCAACTTTTTCTACATTAACTTAATTCAACGAGTTAAACAAAAATAGTCAATATTGCCAATTTCGTAGAATCGTGTTTCCTATGCAATGATTAATCATTTATCATTAAATTCAAATCTAAGACATCCATTACAATGACATACTCAACAACTCTACACAGCAGAGCGGTGTCCAATTGTTTACTTTTTTTGTAATAATTAATATTATCATTGGTTTATTATACTGAATTTCACATCATTTTTTGGGTGTAATCGAAGGAAATTTTTGAACTGATTAATGCTGTATAATTGTATGATGTACTTTTATGTACCTACCCTTTATCCTATCTATGATTTCTATACCAATCATTGATTATGTACATATTTGTATGAATTGTATACAAATTTGTTTAATGTACAATTTGTAGATAGAAAACGTGTTTTTAATGTTTGAATAATTATATGGTGAAACAACTGATGGGTAAGTTGATAGCAGTCAGAGGTGTAAACTTTTTTAATCATAGTTTCTTGGGTAATATTTGTTATATTTATGTCTGTTCTGTTTGTGACATTAGAACAAATAACAGTAATATCGTTGTATGGGTTTAATATGTAATTCAGGACCTAGCGTCTTACCCGATAGATATTTGTGAAACCATTAATTTACTTTCAATAGCTAGTTGGTGACTGCAATTAAGTAAGTAAATTAATTAAGTCCCTCAAAGTGTCGGTGTAGTCCGTTTTCCAAAATAATAGTTAGAACAAAATTAGAATAGTGCATAATCACGTGCGTGATGTGATGTATGATTTCAGTATTTCACGTCGCATGTCATAGATAATAATAATATAAATTATTTAAATCTATGTTATGTAATTTGATGTTTTTTGTTTGGAACACGCGACAAGGAACATGTACTTTTGCGTTT